TTTTCAGGGTTTTATTTTTGTAAGTTTGCTGAGAGAATTAGCACCTACAGGAGTTGGGGCACAATAGTTGTGCTATGTAAGTCAGACAGGCCGCCTGAGCACTTTTCTGCCAGTCCTGTTTTTAATAACTGGTGCCTCTCAGCTTTTCCATGCAGCCCCTCACACCAGCAGTACATCAGTAACAACAAACTGGGGGCCACCTGAAATTCATAAGCAGTGTTCAAGACAGTCTTGCCTGCTGGACATGAGATGCTGAATTCGCAGTTTTCTGAAACACTTGCTTAATTTCAACTTCAAACCTCACAAAAATCACGGTTCGCTCTCTTACCCTAAGCTGCTTTCCATGGCTGGGTCTCACTCCAGGCAGCACCTCCAGAAGCCAGGTGAGCTGGGATTTTGCAACAGGTCTTCTACCTGGTGGCAGCTACAGAGCCTGGTGTACTTGTTCTGTACGCAGTGACAAGCAACCCCCAATCCCTGGCTCTACATCCAGAGCAAACTGTGGCTCCCTGTGCACCCCACTGACAGCAAATAGTGCACAACTAAAGGACTTTTGGTACCTCTAAAGGGAAGCCTGAGCTTCATTTTGAAGCTTCATTTGCTCTTCTACTTAAGCCCTACCAGGCATTCTAACGTAGAGCCCACTACACCCACCCTCCCTGGCATCCCACTCCTCCTGAGTTCACATCCTGGGCCAGCTTGCTGCTTTTTTTTAAACTTTTCCTCATATATTTCTGCTCAAGAACTGTATTATTTTGATTCTCCTTTCATGGAAGCTGTTGCACACATGATTTTCTTATTGTCAAATACATACATAATACACACACACACAGAGGCACATAGATGTGTGTATTTAACATACCTCTACACTTCTCCATCTCCTGAACTTATTTCCAGATAAAGCTCCTCCATCCAACTCACATCAAGGCTCCTGCCTGTGCTTAGTATTTTGTTCCATTTCCTCTAACACAGCAAGAGGGAAAAAATTAAAGAAAACATATTTAGGTTACCACAGCTATATTTGACTCAGCAGGGAAGACAAGGCTTGCTCCCTACACCTAGTCAGGCATTAACTTGCCCTCTACATTAGTGATTTGTGGATGTTTGTAGTGTTCTTGGTATAACATGCAACATTTGAACTAAGAACTACTAAGCAACAAATTGCATCTCGAGTGACCACTGCAGAATATTTCAGCTTCCAGTGCAACTTTCTCCTTAAAACTATGAACTCTTTATTTCCTGATCCCCAGAATCATCACAAATGAGAGATTTCATGACATATGATCTGTAAGTCTACATTGCCTACTGAGTAAACTTCCTCATGGAAAAAAGGAGGCTTCTGTTGCATCAGATCAAGCTTAGCAGCTAGCCAGTGTGAGGGAGTTTCCTTAATGAATTCTGTATTTATAGACATGTTCAGTAAGGAAAAAGATTTCAAGGTCATCTTTTCTGACTTTTTTTTTTTCATTTTGTACTACACAGTTTTTTTTTTAGTAGAATTTGAGAAACTACTACTCTTCAAAATGTACTTAATCAGAGTAAAAGCTTCACTAACATATTTTTAAACAGAGAAGGATTCTTTTTTCTTTCCTTTTTAATGCTTAAAGTGATTTAATAAGGTTATTTAAAAGAGCAATGTGCAGAAAGTCATACATATTTTGTACTTACTTGGAGGAAAAACTAGATGAACTTACCAACTGAGCAGAATCCATCCCTTGAATTCTCTTGCTCCTTCTGCTTTCCCCACAGGTGTTAATAATTTGCATCACTGCTCATGGGTGTCCCACAGCACCAGCAGAATAGATGTTGTGCGAAGCAGAGTTCCACAACAGAGAGTGAAAATCTGCCAATGAGCAAAACAATTGTTCGAACTAGATGGGCAGCAGCAGGATGTGATGTAGGACAGGCTGGTTCCAGGGATCCCCAGAAACAAACCTGCTTGTCCCAGCCCTGAGTTTGGCTCAAGTTCTTTAGGAAGCACTTGTCTCCTCCAGTGGCAGCCCTGCACAAGCACAGTTTGAACGGAGCAGAATTCAAAGGAAGAGCGGAAGTATAAATACATTTTAGTTGTGACAGGTTTTGCATTCCACATCTATTGCGTTTACAGGATGTCATCTATATGCATGGTAAAAAAAGCATTTGCATTTAAGCTTATTTAATTCAGAAATATCTTTGGACCACTATCCTTGCATTCTGTTACAAAGGATTATCATAATACCATTCCATCCTGCTTACCCACAGCAGACCTCCTCCGATTCCTTGGATTTAAATAAGCCTCAAGAAGCTTCAAGTCTTGCTCTCTATATTTTGCTATTAATTATTTCTGTTATATAAACACCCAAAGGTCCCAGTCAGAATTTCAGCTCCCACTGCTCTGGGAGTTCACAAGATAGTTCATATTGACATTCCCTGTCCCGAGGGTATCTGGGCAGTCACGTGTCCATCACTGCAATCCACCACTGGCAACATTCATTATATCACGAAGAATATTTGAATAACAGTTTTCTGCTGTGATTAGCCTGCAGTCATCATACTTTTCCATGACCTCTGTATCCCTGTATGTCATTTACTCTTCTGTCTTTGCCATATAAACCAATGTCACCTTTTTACAGCAAACAGCTGGATTACAGAGTTGTGCCTTCCAAAACCACACCAAATGAGCCCAGGTGGCTACGTACAGTGGAATACAGATCAGTTCTTGTCATTGTGACCAAAGGAAGCAAAGGGTCAAATAAGCAATTGAATAAATTAAGGAGAAGATATTTGGATTAGTTTTATAAATTTGACAGACTGATTACAACTAATAGTCTCAGCATACCAAAAAATCCCAAACCCCAGAAAACTAGGATTAAAAAGTATTGCTATAGATTGACTCATTTACAATTTCATATGACTTAATTCTATTTTTTAATTCTAGGAAATTAGGCCACTGAATTTAATGGCACTATGTTGCAATCTTAAAAATATTCTGTGAATTTGTGTCTTAACACAGGTTTTCTCTTTGTTTTCTTTGGTTTGGGGAGTTTTCTAATTCTTTTTAAGTTTAAACAACGTGGTTTGGTGGGGGGGTTTCTGTGTTCAATTACAGTTTTTTAGGAAAAAATCAAATTAATCTACTTTGGAGTTACCTTAAGTTGTTTATTCTGTCTTCATGTAGCTTGTTACAACAACCCAATTAACTCCAGTTCATCGTATAGGAAACATTTTTAGAATAATTATTATAAATAATACCACGATAATTCTGGTATTATACCAGCCAGAATGATGTGCACCACATCTACACATCCATTAATTTTGTCACAATACTATTGTTTAGCACAGCAAAGATAACTGAAAATATTACCCAAGAACTTCATGCAACTGAAAGTTCACTGGTTTATTTCTCTTACCAAGAGTAACAGTCTGAAATATTTTACATTAATTTACAATCATGAACAAGATCCTTATGTTTATCTCATGTAGGTGACATTAAGTCATCCAGTTAACGCTAATTATTATTTCAAAAATTTAATCTTTTTAAAGTTTTTATAAGGTTAAACATTTTTTGAACCATTTGTTGCCAAAACACAACAGTCTACAACCACACAGAAAGTAGAAATTAAAATTTCTACAGAGCCACTACCATCACTATGAAGATACAATGCCAAGTGTTTACAACATTCTGCAAGTCATCACTTCTCCCAGCATTCAAGAGAGCAAAAATTCCCTCTTCACTTTTTACTGTACACACAAGAATTACAGTAAAAGGGGAAATTTTGGTTCATAATGTTAGATCAAGGGTAACAGAAGTGCTTCTGAGTCATTTACTTTGAACGTAGAAAATGAACAGAGCTGTGGAACAATAAGGATTCTCCTCTAGGAAAGGGCAGGTTTTCCCCTCAGCCTCGGACCATGCACCAGACATATCCACTCCTCTCCTTCCACAGACAGCAGCAAAACCAGCCTGTGCTCATGAGGCAACAGAGAAGCAAAGCTGAGATCCACAGTACAGACCTGAGGTGAGATGCGGGTCCCAGGTCCATGCAGAGCTGGAACTGTGGGACTGCAAGAGGAGGTGGAGTGCGACGAACCCAGAGCTCGAGTCAGTAACTCATGCACAGAGCAAGAAAGCCCTGCTTCACCAATTAGAAACATTTGAAGGTCTCACAACTTTGGTTTTTCTGGAACCCTTGTTGAAACCAATCACTGATTTGTGTGTCACTCAGCAACACGCAACAGAGCCGCTCAGATCTGTAGCCTTCCTGGCAGGGAACACAGCAAGAACTGTGCTGCTTCCTTTGACAGAGAGCACACAGACCACAGCAAAGCCACTCTGCTGGGCTTGGCCCAAAGCTGGCACACCATGGTCACCCCCAGTGCCCCACTACCAGAGCAGAACTGCAGCATCTCAGAGTGTTCCACTGCCACACAGACATGGCTGGTGGGTCACTGGGACTCACTGACACGCTGCATCTGGCGTGGGAAGCCTCCAACAGCAGAGGGGTAAGGGCTGTGTAGCCAGAGAGAAACTCGTGAAATACTTTCCTGGGATCTCCCCATGACAGTACACTTCCCCACAGATGCAGCAAAGCCTTCTCACCGCCTTCCTCCTGTTTTGGCATTCCTCAGCCATTCCTCTCACCAATCACACTGCCTCATACCTTCTTCCAGAAAACCCCTGCCCTCCCTCCCCCCAGAGGCAGCAGGATGCTGTTCAGGACAAATTCTCAAATTCTCTTCACTCCTCCTGCCCAAGCCCATTTGCCTCTTTGGCTGCAGGCCTGGCAGCCCTGTTTCTGGAATGGACATCCACCACCCTGCCACAGACATCCACCAGCAGCTGCTGGAGCCCCAGTGCAGCCAGTCAGGACACAGCTCTCCCTCTCTTGGTGGCAGGACAAACCATTTTCCTCCTCTGCCCAGATCATGGCAATTACTCCATGGCATCACAGGATGTCCCATGCTGAGAGACTCTGCTCCCCAGGTGTGGCCAAAACCATGATCCCTTCCCATCACACCCACAGGCTGCATTGCCTCCCGTCACAGAGCAGGGCTGCCACGGCATGGCAGCTCACAGGGCTGCATTGGGGAGTACCCTTTTGCTCCCAGCAGTGTAGGGAAGAGATTCAGAGCCCGGCTCCTGATGAGAGTTTCCTCTGTCACACTGTGGACGTGGCATTATTCACATGCAACAGTTAAATACCACATAGCAATGCAACAGAACCCAGGAGATCTGACTCCACACCCTAGGAAAGGGACCGTTTGTCCTGGCTACCCTGTGAAATGCCAGTGCCTTTCCTAAGGTGGCACAGAGAGGGAGTTTGGTGTCCACTGCACCCCTTGGCACAGTCAGTGACTGAAAGACAGAAGTCATAAGTCCATTTCCAAACGTGTGGGACTGTGGCCAGCTTCCTTCAAAGCAGAAGGCCCCCAAGGTACACTATTCTGAGTGAATGGATTGCACAGCCAGAGGACATGAAAGGGTGGACAGAAAAGCACTGAGACAACATTTTGATCAACCCAGTTCTCCTTACAGGCCCTCTCGGAATAGCCTTCTCTCACATAAGAAACATAGCCTGAGGAAAAGGACACAGAGTTTGGGAATCTTGAACAGCATTTTGCCACGGATGACTCCTGCGGCCACAGTCTGGCTGAGTCATTGTATCCCTCCTTTTCTCTAGCCAGACAGGGACAGCAGCCCTTTTCTGCTCAACAAGGCCATTGCAAGGTGCTCAGACAAGGTGAGGAATATAAGGATTGAGGTTCATACCTTATCCAGGTTTAAACAGTGATGTACAAAAGCACAATCAACGCAAAGCCTGCATTTAAAATGAGGCTTCTGTGTTCAATTGCAGGTGCTTAGAGGACAGAGTTTTACACTACTTAGACGATGCCTTGTGCTGTTCCAGACCTGCACACAGGGACAGCACTGGGATCTAGCAAAGAATCTGATCTAACAGTTGCAGACAGCCCAAAATGTAAGTGTTCAGCAGGTCAGGGCCTGTTTTCTGATGCTGTGGTGCCCTCGGTTTATTCTGGTATCACTCCATTTAAACAAACAGGTCATTAGCATGGGCACAGTGTGAGCCAGACCCCAAACATTCAAGCTAATACTCAACCCTTTGCTTATTCCTCCATATGCTTCATACAACACATAGTTCAAAGAAAAATTACACCTTGTGCAATTCTTGGACTCACTGGTTGGCTCTGAATTTCCTGCATAGCAAAAGTTAAGAGAGACATCAATCCTGTCCTCACTTTTAGCGAGACCAAACACGAGCCCAGCTTTGTAGAGGTAACATGCATTAATGGCAGCCCAGGGTTCATCCCAAACCACACTACTTAGCTTGTCTGTCCTCATTAGCTTTTAGAGTCACTGATGAAGCAACAGGGCAGAGCTCTACAAACTTGTGCTTGGTGCCATTCAGTTACATAAATTATGGGCAGCCCGTAATTCAGAAATCCGTGAAGTATCCTTGGTACCCAACGGGTATGAAAGGAATCAAAATTTTGTTCACCAAAATATTTATATTAGCTGAGAAAGCCAAACTCTGCCAAGAACGGAGCTGGCAAGCTTCCCTGGAGTGTCTCTGCCAGTGTGTAAAACACAGAAAGCACCCCCACCTACCACAGCCCCTCTGTGCATGCCCAGGGCTGGTTGAGCTTTTAAGTACAGTGCCAACTATTTGTAAGGCCTCAAAAATCTGGAAACTTTTGAGCGCAGAAGCCGAATGAAGGATCTCGGGAACATCTCTCTTGACTCTTGGGCTGTGTACTTGAAGTAGTTCTGTGGATGTGCCAACACGTCAAACAGTGCTTTTATCAGCTTCTTGTCCTAGAAAAAGGAAAGCAGATTTTACAGTAGTTCCAGAGAGGAGTTAAGGTCAGTATTACCAAAGTTTAATGACTGTTTAACTCATAAAATATTATGGGCATTTATTTTTCAAGTATTAAGGCTTGAAAACTAGTGGAGCAAGGCTGACATTCGGGCCCCAGAGATGTCATTGGAGTTTCACATTAGCAGCACCAGGATTTCTTCCCTCCTCATACTTTCAAGAACAGCAAACAAACCACAAAACAAACACACACTTGATCTGATATCCAGCAAAATAAAGGTTTGCTTGGGACAACATGCACTCAACTTGTCTGTGCAAGTCCCCTAACTAAGGCAAGAGAAATCCACAAAGATATTTTTCGCACAGGGAGGAAAAGCCTTTGCTAATCTACAGGCTACAAGTAGCAGCACCAAGTGCTTCCCAAAGAAATGAAATGCCATGTCCCTCAGTCTACTCCACCACTTCCTTCCAGCACAGTCTATGTGAGGCTGAAAGGGCTACTATTACCACAGATTTCCCTAGAAGGTCTGATCCACCTTTAATCCCCCTGGGCAAAGGGTCTCATATTCGTTGCTTTGCACAATCAGGATGTGCTGATTGATCCCATTTCCCTGGAGCACACACATCTAATGCACTAAGGAACAGACCTGATGCAGAGCAGAAAGCAAACTCACTTGCACCAAATAATGTAATTTTCAGTCAAAACCAACATGCTTAGTAGAAGGAATGTACCTTAAGTATTTCTTGATGATTTTCAGATGCATAAAGTCTACCATCCCGGACAATGTCTTCTATTAGTTCTTGGTAATCCTCTGTGGGGAATGCACAAGAGAGTAATTTGCAGGTTCACTTCACTTACATATTCAATACTTCCCTTGGTTCTTCTGCTCCCAGAAGAACCAGTAGTACTCGGGCCTCACATTAGCAGTCAGAAAATATTCCAAGTTCTTTTCTACAAAGAAACTACAAATCCCATTTACAATGAGAACAGCGTACCGTGCTGAGCTGCCTGGCATCAACCTGTCGTAAGTGAAAGAAATCATAAAGCACTTAAGATTGTAGTGCACGCTGTAACCAAGTAATCTCACAAACCAACTCCACTGCAGGAACACACCTGTAAACACCCACAACCCGCTACTGACTTTTTTCCACAGGAAAAGGGATAAAAAAAAGGAGGTAAGGGGAAGTTTTCTTAAAAGACAACCCCCTGGTCATTCAAAAGTTTAAATACTTCAAAGGCAGAGGTCTCCGCTGGAAAATTAATTATCCACTGTTGATGAAACTCTGCAGAGCACAGCAAGATGGCTCCATCATTAATCCAGTGTGAACAGAACGTACAGTATCACTACAGTTGTACTGAAGTGCAAAGCCTCAGCTCCAGTTTCACTTCTGTTGATTCTGGGAAGGACAAGGTAAAAATCTTTCCCCTTGAGCTTCTTTTCAATATAGTTTTTTTGCTATCTGATCACAAATGGTAGCAGCAACACAATAAATCAGAGGCACTTGGGCTCTGCCTGCTTCCCAACTGGGGACACTATTGCCAACTAAAGCAACCCAGAACTAAGAAGGCACAAAAGTGCATAAAATTTAGACTCTAGTTCTGAGCTCTGCAATTTACAGGCCAGAGCCCAGAATCCCAGATCTTTCTTTAGGTCTGTGGAAGACTGGAAATACGGTGGCACTTAAGGCTATAGTGCAATGCAGAATTTCTTTAACTATCTTTAAGTGAAAACAGCTACCGGGAGCTAGTGACACTGCTGAGAGCATTGGGCTACCCTGCTGCCTAGGGAGTGGAGTTCTGCACTGCTGCAGCTGCACTGGTCCACATAGGCTCAGCTGCTCACACCCACTCACCATCATATGTTACATAAGGAACTTGGAATCCTTTGGCACTGTTCCCTTCATTCGACTTGAACTGGATCCACAATTTCTTAGACCTAGAAGTGAAAGCTATCGGGCGTTCGTAGGTTTGACAGGTCTCATACGTGGTCACTGAGTTGGAAGAAGCTTTCAAAGAAAACACACAATAGGCAGTTATCTGACAGTGCTTCACGCTAACAAACAACTAGAAAATAGGTTACACTACCGTGACAAAAATGCTTGCTGGCGTTAAGAAAAGTCCTCAAAACGTGGCAGGCCATCAGTAGATGGCAGGCCATCAATGAGTGAATTCTTGGTCAAAGAATATTTTCCCTTTTCCTAAAAGAAACAGCCTACTGTTTGAAGGATGTGACTATACTAGAAACTGTTCATACATACATCAGGCACCTTCAGGGGATTAGCAAACTCTTCCTAATCTAGGCTAGAACTGCTCAGCATAATACATGGATAGGTAGCTTGAACCATCTACCCGTTCTTAACAACTTCTCAGAGTTCACTGACACATCATAGCCTTGCACCCTTGTCTCATCCAAACCTATGGAGCAGCATTGCCAAACAGGACTTCTCAATTTCCCATTTAAAGAAATTTCAACTCTTAAGTAGAGGCCAGCCAGGTTACATTTAGCTTATGTAAACAGAAATGCACGTGAGAAAGCTGTGTTGCCTGCACTGTAGATATTTCAGACTTACAACTTTTTCTCATCACCAGGTAGTCTCCACACTCGTCTTCTATGGGTAGAAATATTTCTGGAACCACGATCAGAATACGGCGCTTCGGCGGTGGGTTAATATTCCAGGTGCACTCAGTGTTTGCAGGATAGTCCCCAGGATAGTTTGGTGATTCAATATATCCAGTGTAATCTCCCAGTTCACCTCCACACTGCCTGTCTGAAAAAGCAACATGGTATGCAAGACAAGGAAAAGTGAGGGCATCCCACAGCCCCTCAGCGGTCACTGTCAGGAACAGTACACACAGGTGACAGACGGGCACACTTTTCTGTTTGCAGCTGGTGCAGGTACAGTTCTCTTTGCCAGCTTCAATTCACACTGCTGCCTGCTTCTGCCTGACTGTTTTAATCAATGTTGAGACATAAAAACACAGATTAGTCCCTGCTAATACAGCAGGTGCTATGGACGAAGCCATGCCAAGCAGCAAGGCGAGGCAGTGGTAAGAGGGCACAGCAGTGGGAAAGCAAGGATGCTCCACTTGCTTGTACCAGGCAGAACTTGTATAAAAGTACCAGCTGAGGTTGAACTGGAGCCTGAGGAGCTCTGCTCAGTCACCACGCCTGCAGCAGCACAGAACAGGCTCTTTCTCTGCACAGATCAGCATTGCTGGCAGTAACAGAAGGCAAACCCCAGTGCAGGATGCTTTGCCAGCGCTCCCCAACTCTGTGCAGCCACAAGAGTTTGGGCACTGCAGCACTGTAACAGTGAGGTGTGGCTGTGATGTGCCCAGGGAACAGATTCTGTAAGTGAGAGACATGCAGTCTCCAGAAACACATTTCTGTGTAGGTATGTGTGTGTATGTCTGTGTGTACGTAAGTGTCTCCAGAGGTGGTTCTGAGCAGTCACCTCTCTGCCCTCTATTTTCTCTCTTTACCCTCAGCTTCCCGCACTACAGCTACCATAAATCTAGAACAGTGGTTCTATTTGTAGTTGCCTTTTTCAAAGGCTGTTATTAAGAAGAAATGATTGCTAGAGCTATTAAGTTTTGTGAGCCAGCTCCTATTCCTGTTAATAGGAGGGGAAAAAAATCAGGGTGCCAAGAACACAAACTCTGCTATATGATGGGAGAAAGGATTTAATAAGCAAGATCCTGATCAACCCAGCACCAGCAGGCAAAACACAATCATCACTTACCATATAAAAATGGTGAAATCAGTCTGCAGAAATGGTCTCTCAGAGACCTCAATAAGTCATTTGAGAGGTGAGAAGCAGGCAGGCAGCAAAAGAGGAGAAACACCTCTGCTTTCTCTCCAAGCTCCCTGGAGCAAAGCTAAGTTCTGCCCTTAGGGCCACTCTGAACATTAAAGGTAAGAGATCATCAAAGCCATCTTCCTATACTTACTTTTGCACTGTGTTATATTTGTTGACCCATCAAAATCAGTAGTGGTGTTTCCAGGGCATGCAATGCAGTAATTTTGTCCAAACTCAGGCTGGTATGTCCCAACCGCGCAGCGAATGCACCGATGAGTTGTGGTATTATAAAAATGGCCAGGTGAGCACTGAACTGGACAGTAATTAAATATGCATCATGGTTAAAAGAGTGGCAGTAGCATAAAATACGACTTTACAGATTTGTATAGGACCTAGTACAATTTCATCAACTGAAATGCCATATTCATAAACAGTGAGGGTAACAGAGCAGAGGTAACTGAATAAATTTCAGTGTATCAGCTCATTTTGTTCAAGTTCAGAATTTTCAAATGCAATGCAGTGGAGCAGTTCTGCATGAAAGCAGCAATAAAAGACATGGGGGAGTGAGTATAACCACCATGATTTTGTAAGAAGGACACCAAGTAGGACAGGGTGTTACCAAATGGTTTAGCCACAGACATTTGACTTGGAAGATGGACTGCCTGTGGAAAATACTGACTAAACTTTTCTTCCCTGCCTGGTCATGCCAGGCAGCATGTGCACTGCTGCTGCATCTTAGATAGCCCTGAGACCAGCTCAACCCAAGCAGAGGTGAGAGATGCTGGTCCTCTGCAAGGGCTTTTGTATCAAGGCACATTGTATCACTATTAGTGACTAAACTGGTATATTGCCACCTTCTCTTATGATCACACTTTGTCTTTCAACAACAGGCCATGACTCAGGGTACAGTCACCTCCACCAGCTCTGCTGCTACTTTATTTCATCGCATCAAAAAGTCATTTTGTTAGCAAGACACATGAGCTGCAGCCCTCACAGAGCTTGCTGAGAGCACCTTCTGCATCACCAAGGTGAGGCCCCATTCCAACACACCAGCTCTTCTACAAACACAACAGATTTTATGCAAGTTTTAGACGTGAGATAGACAGATGTAGGGGAAAAATACTTTCTAGCAGACTCACAAATTTTTTCCTATTTTCCTGCATGGAGAGAGGAAGATCGAAATCTGAGAAAAGATAGGACTCTAAACACCTTTGTTTACATCTCTAATTTGTGGATTTTCATTTGATTTTGCTTAGGTATTCTGCACCTATGCTCACCATCAACTGTACTGAAACCTAGCAGAAAGCAGTCAGGAGCATCAGCTACATGTCATCTTTGCTCTTAACTCTATCACTACCTTGCTTCCTTTTTCTTGTGGGGTTCAAAAAAATAATTTCCTATTCCTTTTACCTCATTTAGCAAGTTTATCTCTCTCAGCTCAACCTTAAAATAATTTACTATCTACCATCAAATGTAGTTTTCTGTGCCGCACAGTCCCTTTTTTCTATTTGTTTTAAGCTCTGCTTACTCCTAAGTAATTCTAGTCTTGTTGAGCTTTGTAAGCTAGCTCAGCCTGGAATCCTTCCCTGCGTGCTGCCCCAATCCAAATGTTTCAGAGACAAGTTCCAAATAGTTCTTGCATCTGTGATTCTATGTCTCATGTGGCCTCTTCCACAGGCAAATCCCTGAGCTCTTCATTCCAGCTAATAGAAAAATTCCTTTAATCTCCACTCCAGTTTGGAAACTGAACCTCATTTATAGACTTGATTTTGTTTATGTTAAAATAAAACTGAAATCACTTCCTCTTATCTTGATCCAAAGTGTTTAATGTGTTCTTTTAGTACATCAATTTTTCAAAATTAAGTATGAAACAACTCTATTAGTGGATTCAGTGCTTCTTCACTGAAGAAATCTATTAGATATCACACTATTAGCAGTAATATTAATTCTTAAACAATACTGCAAAATTCTTATAATATGTTGCAATTCCCAATAGTAAACATATCTTAACTGACACTAGACAGATCTCTTAATTCAAACCACTACCAAATGTTTGCCATAAGGACCTTATTTCCATACCTTATTTTTACTCTGCAGCACTAGATTTTCTACTAAGACTTTTTCCTCAGGTGATTTTTATAAGTAATTTTCTTTTATCCATTCTTTAGGACACTGAGCAAACCGTTATAATGATTAACATTCCATCTCTCTCCACAGGCACACATATTTATCACCATTTTCAGGCAATTTTATAGCCGCCTTTCAGCTGTTTAAATTTCAGAGACCAAAGATGCATACAAAATTCCATTATTTTTAAAGATATGATTCCCATTTGATTTTCAGTACTGTGATTAAACCTTGGGAGCTGATTGCACGTCAGCTCCACTGTGACCAAATTTAGAGGGTTGTCTGAGGTGCCACAGGGTTAAGCCGAATGTTCACCTTTTAGCTTTAGCCCAAGGCACCCAATCCAGTTTCCTATTATGAACATGAAGAAAATATTTTCTTACTTATGCACCAGGACTGAAATCCCCTCCTTTACATTTCCATGTTGCTGCTGCTTTAAAACCAAAAATGTCTTGAGACTTTTTCTTCCTTTTTTTTTTTTTTCCTTTATATGACTCTCCACAGATCAACAGCTTTACTGATCAACTTCCATAGATCTCCCAACCCCTTCTAAAGTCTTGTATAAAAATCAGTTACAGAAAGAATTGAGGCTTTACTGAGTTTCCTTGAAGCCAGGCCAGGCCAACCAGCTCTGAGAGTGATGACTGACCCTTGAAAGGAAAAAGACCCTTCTCTGAATGCCCTGCTTGGAGCAGTGCCAGTTACTTTTGTCTCAGAGTAACACACTTCATCCAATAAATCTCGACCTTACCTTTGGCCTCACAGTCCTGAAACAAGGATGCACTGCTGTGTCTTGTGGTCAGACCTCCTCCGCAGGGAAAGCAGGATACCCTCCCAGCTTCAGGCTGGTATGTTCCAAGGGGACACGGCAGACACGGTCTGAAGCCATCAGGAGAATGTTCCCCTGGGGAGCATTGATCTAGAAGAGGAAGGACACACTTGCTTCAACCTGTACATGATAGATGAAGGCGTGTTACTGAGCCTGTGCAGGACCTGAAACCTCACGGTGAAACTGCTCTCCTGCTTACCTGGGAAGTGGGAACCAGGGTTTCAGAGCTGAATGCAAGCAACAGCATTAACAGAGCTTAATACATCCAGTGTACTCTGTCAGATAGAAACAGACATTGGTAATCTTCGGTGCTAGTGAGCTCTTCTGGGAGCTGGAGTGGATTTCACGCTTTGTTGCAAGGCCACACTGGACACTCGGCCCATCCAGTGCTCTCTGCTCGTCTGCACAGGGCAATTGCGTACTGATTATCTCCTCTTTCTAGCTGAAGAGCTCTTGGACTCTTCCCAAGTGAAATAATTTAGTACTGAACCTAAGAGGCCAAAAATACACTTCCAGATTTCTGTAAGTATTTTAATCCCAATGTCATTGAATATTCATACTTCATAACCATTAGCGTTACCGGATTGTGTGAGAACCTCGAGCACCACAAATAATTGTGTAAATTCATTAAACTAAACATTATGCATGCCTCCAAGACGTTTAAAGTAGAAATATTCTTGCCATTCCTCTGATACTGGATCTTTTATCTGTATTTATTTCATCTGCACGATTACCTGTGCACCAGATTGTTGTGTTTTATATGGTACATAGAGAGCACTAATTTTACTTAAAACGACTGATTTTACTTAAAACACACATCTCAATATTATCTAATAAGCTCAGCAATATTTATGAGTATCTTTGAAAAGTTTTGGTTTTCAAACTTTTCACAAAAGAACTGGCTTCAGTGCCAGTATTTAATAATTACCCTGCTCTGGAAAGGCACAAAACACTGTTGCAGTTGTTCAGCTGTGCTGAAAAATTCTGTCCTTTTAAGACCTGTTACGATAATAAACTGTTAGTTTTAGTTTATAGCTCCAATAAATCACTCAGTGAATAGCTGTTTTGTTAGGAAGTTAAATTGGCCTTGGCTTCATTTCAGGATATATGACTAACAACAAGCAGGGCATTAACTACCGGTCATGACCAATGATGAAGAGTTTTGTTTATGGTTGATACACTGTGTGGAAGAGTGAGTGTTCCTCCTTAGCTTAAAAATAAAATGCAGCAGGTTAAGCAATGCTCTGTAGCTTATCAATGAAGGCTTTTGAGGAAGTCTTAGCTCTTGGTTCTAACTATTTCCACCACACATCACTTCTGCCCTCATAAGGACACACATTCATTTGCTCCCTCACTTTTCAAGCCTTTCTCCATTTTATAAACATTCCTACAGAACACTCATCTCTGTACACTTTGTGCACTTCAACAAACATGAATGAATTAAGGCTTTCATTGCAGCGCTCCTAATAAGGTAAGGAAAGAGCACTATTTACAATTCCATGACAAGGAAAGACAATCAAGGTTAGTAAAGGTGATTTTGAGAAGTGGCTACTGACTTCAGAAAGCCTGGAGCAATGGAGACACCAGTGCAAACCTCTTTCAAAAACTCCACAGCCCTGTGAGAAATCCACACTCTGAGTGGTTTCACTAAACTCTCTGCTCTCTGCTATCTCCCCTTAGCCCTTTTCCATTCATTTTAATCACATGCCAAGTTTAGAGTGGTTTGGGTTTGGTGTGTTTTTTTCACACTTGGGAACGGGAGTATCTCTGTGTTTTGAATGGAATGTTATTTACACTGACCATACAAATTCAATATTAGAACTGTACTTCAGGTTTCCTGAACTTGCTCAGAGTCCAGCATAACAGTAGGACAGCTATCAGAGCTCAAAGGAAACCTGTCCCGGGCAGGAATCAAACATTTTGTGTCTGTGGGTTCAAAGCCAAACTAGGTGGCCAGCTGCTGGATTGCTAGAGAAGGTGCAAGGTGATAGCAAGAGTATGGTTACACAAGTATTAGCTCTGGTCAACTGCAATGCAGCAGCTTCTGTGTACTGACAGAAGGCTGATATTAATCTGAGGTCAATTAAGCTGTACTGGAGCTACACTCCAAGTGCTTTGGGCCCCATTTCCCACTTGCACTGGCTGCCCCAGGGATGCACTGTGGCAGGTCAGCAGGACAGTGGGCTGTGTCTGTGACAGTCCTCGCAGAAGAAACACAGGGCTGAGACAGTGAAATGCAGGAACTGAGAAAATCGTTCTGGGCTGAAACAAAACTTTTCTATTAGATTTGAACCAAGCAAATAAAATATTTTCTTTTGGTTTTCCTAAAAGGTGTCAACAACAGAAAGAAAACTTTTATTTAAAAAAAAAAATTAGGATGTTCAAAACCAGCTGAAAAAGCTGTGTACAGTGTGGTGGTTACAGCCATGCACTAGCTTGCAGACAGAAAAGGCTCTCAAATATATTTCTTCACATGACCACATCAAGCCAAACTTTTCAGAGTGGTACAAGTGTCCAGACAATTAGACCCACAAACACGTTCCCTGTAAAATGCTCCAAGTTCCTTCTAATCTTCCATCTAGAAATGGTTCAAAAAAAGGCCACGCATCTAGTCACACTGGAGCACAGAGCAGGGGTAATGAAGAAAGCCTGTTTAGAAACTCACAGCATTCACCAGGGCCCAATTTAGCATAACAAACACACTTAGTCTTATATTCAGTTATAGTAACATTAATTATAGGGCCATTATTTCAATGCAGAAATCATCTCACAGAAATCCATAGGACTGTGCATAAAGCTAGAATGAACCTTCTCTTAAAAAAAAATCCACAAGAAACACCTCTTAGACGTTTGACTTTTCCTGACATCTGTTTAAATGAAACAAAAAAGAAGTTTACGAGCTTCATTTCACAAAACTGCATGGTCCCACCCGACACATGGGAAACACCCAGCCAAAACTAGATCTGAAGATTTGCAAATAATGACATTAAAACACAATTCCACTGGCTGGCTTTGCTCTTTTTTTCAGAAACCTGGTTGTTTTTCTCCAAATGAACAAAAGAACCAATTGCCTCTAGTAGACTTCATTTCTGCAGCCACTGTCTTTGTTTATCTTCAATACCCATTAAAAACCTGGTCTTGAGTCTCATGCAGCTGTTTTAAAGGAGAAAAAAAAAAAAAAGTGAAAGCTTTTCTGATGCAAAAACAAGAAGAAAAGGAGGGGGGGGGGGGAGAGAGGGGCCCACAGGGAACCAGGATTAACAGTTACAAAGACATTTAAAGGCTCTTCCCCTCTTTCCAACACATTAGCCTTTGAGCATTTGCTCCTATAGACAAATGCTGTGGTATCTCAGAGGCTGAGAAGGTGAACCTCATAAAGGAGGTCATGATCCACCAATTCACCATTTTCTTAAGAATGATGCCTTGACTTTATAAGGAAAATCACCAACAAGTGATGCAAATTGATTCTGAAGCGGCATCCTTTAAGTTATTGTGGTTTAGCAGTTCACACATTTAGGTCACATGAGAGGGTTATGCATTCTGAGGATTTATGTCTTAAATCTATAATTGTCACAGCAGGCAGGTTAGCAGAAAAATAGTACTCTTTCTCCCCATTTGATTGTTCATTTCTTCTTGCTGGATTTTGAAAAAATTCTAAAAAAAAATTTAAAAAAGCAACACAGTTCTCTGTTGTGTAACACAATTATTAATTATAACTGCAAAGGTAGGCAGCATTTTGCTTTTCTGTTTAAATCTTTCTCTCACACTTTTATAATGCCGGCATCATACCACATCTAAACTCTGCAATGTGGTTCATAATTTCGGATGGAAAGTTAATATTTTTATTTGTGTCCCCTCAACTAAGGGGGCAAAATTGCTGAATGCTGAGCAATGAAAAGCATTGACACTTCCCACGCAAGATCAAGCTGCTCACCATTTACATCAGAGCAGTGCCTACGCCAGTGCTGCTCTTGCTTGCTGTTCTCTGAGGTGACAGTTCTTTGGAAGAATCCACTTGCAGCTACTGCAGAGCAAGGACATGCTCCCATGGCTTTTTATGCAGCATTTTCAGGAAAAGATAATTCCCTTTGCCTCCTTCCATCTCTTAAAGCACTGGTGTGTCCAGCACACACAAAAAAATATCAAATGGAACAGGCAAGGTGGACTTTCAACTCCATGGGATCAGAGTTTTAAGGAACAGAAAAGCAGCTAAATTGCTTGTTGTTTCTTCCTCAGTGGAAAGTCCCTGAGGGCAAAAGGATCCCAATAGATATGAACTTATTATCTTTCAATATGGAGGTTTTTGGTAAACCACTTTCTGATAAAGAATTGTTAATATTTAAACAGTTGGTCCTTTGGCTGTTAAATCTGTATAAAGTCTAGCTCATACTGGAGAATGGACACTTGTAGCCAGGCCAGTGAGTGAAAGTGCATTCTCCTCAAAACAAATCTCGTCTCAAGGAAGCACATAGCATTTCCAGCATCCTCAGATGGTTCACATGCAGTCTTGAGGTACTGACATCCAAATAGGCATTTCTTTACCTGAAAATTTACTTCAGTGTGGAAAGATCACACTTCTCCTATGAGAATCCAGTTCTCTGGGAAGGTTAATGAAAGTTCCATATTGCTATATGCTTTTCCTGTGATATCCATTATTAGAGACCTACCACTGGCTGCTCCTCGGAAGCCATTCAGAGGATTTCAAGGAATTAATCAACGTGATTACAATGCTGAATGTGCTTACTTATTGATACAGAGTTCACACGTAACAAGGTAGACAAATGCAACACTTGAACTTCTAAAGCACTAGGAAATCCCAAACAGAACCATGCATTGAACAGCAAACTTGAAATAAAATACACTATACCTGTAACCAGCAGTGAATTCCCTTTTACAAGCAATAACTGTTTTAAGAACAGCAGACACACATGCACAACCATCCAGCACACTAAGAATGATAAAACACCTTGGAAATCTCATCTAATCTGTTCCTGGTGCATTTCTAAAGCTTTCCTTCTGTGCTGTGCCCCACTGCAGGCAGCGGGAATTAAGACAGGAAAATCAGGAATAGCACTACCTCACCAGAAGCGTGAAACCCAATGAAGTTTAGTTTGCTACTGCAACTGCAGGCCAGTTATCCTACACAAAAGTTGTCAGAGCAGGTGCTGGACTTTCCCTCTTACGCTGCTCAAATATAAATAATGTTTCAGACAGTGCTGTACCAGGATAAGTCTACCACAGGAAGAGCACCAGCACAAGACTATTTGAATACATAAAACTTATCTAACATAACCATACTCCAAGTATTTGAAAACATTGAACTAAAACCTGCATTTCACTCTTTAACTGTATCACAGAAGACTTGTAAGTCCCTGTGACGTACTTTGTTCCCTCATTGCTTCCTACTCCTCTGGTCAGACTGAGAAAAATCTCTTTGCCAAAGTCCTCTGCCTGTCCAGAGACCACATGCACCACCTGCACTGAATCCCTCTGCTGACCTCGTGTCTCTTGCTGTTTAGTTCCTTTCTCCCCAGAACCATTAGCATATCTAGGTAAGCAGGGCCTCAATCCTGTCCCGAAGTTCTCAAGCAGCTCTACAAAACAATCAGATCAAAATAAAAAAACCCCTACCCTGACTCTCCCACACACACATCCCTGAGCAAGCTTCTTCCCCTTCTACATCCTGTTCCCACTCCATTCTCTTCTCCCCACTCTACTTCTTAGCTCATTCTGAGCGGCAGCCCCAGCAGCAGCACCAGCCCCCCAGTCCTGCCTTGACCATACAGCCTGGGACAATCAGCTTTTTCTAAGGAAATGAGGCGTACGTAACAACACGGCCTCTGTGGGTACTTTTGTGTCCTCTCAGCAACCAGTGAACTGTCTGTCCAGCTCCCAGCAATCTGACAAGTGATGCAGAGAGGTTTCAAAGACGCTAATTTTCTGCACATTTAATATAAATAAGCAGGAAACATGCGAGTGGAAGGAGAGAAACCTTCTCAGCACCTGACCAAGTGGTGCAAATTCCACCTCCTGTTTGATCACAGCAAATCTACACAAGGATATGGTCTGAACACTTCAGCTGAAGAAGGGAAGATGCATTTCGTTATTGCGCCTTGTCAGGCATGAGCAAATCAAACCATAAAGCACATGACCCACAGGGGATCTTACACTCGTTTCACTGCTCACAGCAGCACCTGTTAGGATGTCCACAGCAAACCGTGGCACCAATTCAGCAACAGAAGAGGCCCAACTTTTGCAAGTTGTTCATTAAAACATTTGTCTTCATATGCTAGGTGACTCTGCTTTAACCTAATCAGCCTATTTATGCTCACCACACCAGTTTTCCAGGCAGGCATTCCCCAAAAGCTTCCTTTTTCTCTAAACTAGCACAGAAATACCATGTATGCTTCTCATTTGTACTGAGACATTAAACTGGTTCTGCAGCTACCTAAAAAAAATTGTGTTTCTTTGGTGTTCCAGTTCCTAATTGTAACTCACATTGCCTTCTCTACCTGCAGTATTTTTAGCTTACTCACTGCTGTTTTTTCCAGATGAAATCACAAATGTTTTCAGTCATACTGTGCTCTGTACGATGGACTGAGACAGATTTTTTCAAAGTCTTCCTCCAGCACCAAACACATTAGCTTGAAAACACCCACATAAACTCATCTTGGTAAACTTTCTGAAGTTTTTCAGACTTTATTGCAATGTTACAAGAAAAAAAATTTAAAAAAAGGAAAAGAAAACTTACAGCTTTTTCCGACAGAATTCCTGAGTAATTCCCTGTTTGCTTGCACAGATGTTTTAAACAATTTTTTCTGTTCTACAAATCCAAGTTTTTCTAGAGTTAGCAAAACTGGACTGGAAAACCTATTCTTAGGCCAAATGTGTTGCTGCTGGAAGACGCACTAATTCAATCTGACAAGCATTTTAAAGGCTTGCTGATCCACAATCCACCTACATGCTGCCTACCCCATGCAGCCTGAATTAGCTGTCATGGTTGTTAGCCCCTGTTAAGATGTAACATCTGACCCCTCTCCTTAACTTTTGTGCTCTGGAAGCACTTATTATGGACTGCATTATGGTGGTGCCCTCCAGTACCATGATAATTAAGACTTTTCTCAGTACTGGCCTATAAAACCCCCATTCCCCATGAATTTATAACTCAGTCATGAAGATTCTCTGGGACTCAGAGCTTAATGAGCAAAGTGAATGTGACTGTATCAAATTCTGCACAGCCTGTTCTTTGGGACAAGGGAGAGATGAAACGTGCACAAGTTCAGAAACATAGTGTTACAATGAATATTAAATGTAGTCTTAAAAATAACACTGGTGATGTCAAGGCCATTGGTGCCTGATGTTATTCCCACGATTTCTACCTTGGAGCTTACTGCAGGCTATACATCAGCTGTAACAAGGTGCAATGCACTGAGCCCTTACTCTACTCTGTAACACAGCAATTGCCAACAATAAATACATAGAGAGACATCTCAGCAACACTAACAGTAACACCCACTTCACACGCAGTGAAGTCCTCCTCCCTCCTGGACAAGTATCCCATGATCCGCCCAAGCTCACCAGACCTGAGCAAAACAGTAAAACACACGTGATGATTTGTTCCTAATTCACACATAACTTACCACATCTGTTACCCAGATGCATGTGTCCTGCACCACAGGACTGCTGTGGCTCTGAGGGCCTGAGAGACTTTCTGGCCACTTCGTGGTCCATGCCAGAGAGGCGGATGCGGAACTGGTCCCTGCTGACTGTTTTCCGCAGGGTTCGAATGGTTTTACGGAACCTCTTTTCAGTCTTCTTCCGAGCACAGCGCACATCACACGTGTCTGAAAACCATCAAGGGTGAAAGCTGCTATAAGTGACCATGCACAGAAAAACCCACCCAATTCAAAACACCAACCAACGTAAATCACCGAGAAAACACTTCCGTGAACAAGTCTGAAATCCTTAAGGACTACACCACCGGGCTGGAAGAAAATTATTCAGACTGCAAGACTTCAATCCGTGGGCAGATCTTAAATCTTTGAAACTATCCCCATTCCTCACTCTTTCCGAACCATTAATTTTCAAAACAGGAGATACTTTTTGTTACCATTTTGCATACAGATAGAAGTGAAAAATACGGAAATTAAGGAGCAAATGGCAAGAAGCTTCAAACCGCACCTTGGATTATTTTCCAACCAACCTGTCACCTCCTTTCGGCTCGTTTCAAGCTCAAAGTCCGCAGTGATAACAATTTCTCTAGTCGCTGTCAGTCTACTGAGGGCTCCATGAACTTTCTTGCCAGAGCTGCATGTTAGGTTTACATAGTGGAAGCTCTCCATTACTGAATTATGTCTCTCTGTATGAACAAAATTAAAGGAAGCAAAAGCTTGGCCGGCTATGTTACTGAACATTCACCAGTGCTCAGCAAATACGTCACCATGAAGAGTTAAAGAAGAGGAAAGGAAGACCCCACATGCCGGTAAACAAAGTCTGGCCAGTTTCTGAACTGGTGTACCCTCACACAGAATCGTGACTCCTGTGCATCTACAGATGTGCTGCCAGGCTGGGACTGGGGGACTGCAGCCCGTCTGAGTCACCACTAGGATGGGAGCTTGGCTGCAGAGCTCAGACCACATCCCCCGGGCTTTGCTACCAGGTTCTAAGGAATTGCCTTTGCACTATGCAAAGCATCTTAAAACCATGACACTGCCTACATCAGGCAGGCTACTCAAGGGGAAAAACTTTGTACACATATGAAGCATGTGAAAAACACATCAGCTTATAATGGTGTTTAAATTAAGTAGTGGCTGTGTGCACAGGACATTTGGAGACCATTTTCATGGCTTCAATGAGGAAATATTATTTAGTTAAAGAAAACACCCAGAATAAGCTTTGGTTCTGGACTACATAATTCTTCCCTGAGCATCTAGGGTAGCTTCTCGCTGTTACTCTGCTAAGGACAAACAATCAGACACACCGATTCATCATACTGTTTAATTACTCCTTTTCCCAGCTCCATTTATTTGATTTTATTTTTTTATATGTACTTCACATTTTCTGCTTACTTTGTAAATTCACAGACTGTACTTTCTGATTTGGAACAGATGGAAGAGCTGACCTCACTGTGTCCATCTGGGGCTGCTGAAGTATAAAAGGAAAACGAGAAAAGAGGAATAACCCTTTGACAGTAGACTCAGCATAAAAGGTCAGGAAATTCTTCAGTGAGGCATCAGACAGTAAGGAGCAGGTGAGAAAAGACAGACAGAAAGATAAAGGAAAAAAGAAAAGGAAGAAATCAAAAGAAAGAAAAGAGTGGTTGATTTTACTGAGAATTTATTGCCAGTGTTACAACAAAAAGGGAGAAGGGCTTTCCTAGCAAGACTGTAGGGATGCCACAAGGAAGTCCTATGATCAGAAATAACTATTGCAAGAATCATGGCTGGGAAGGAGCACGATCCATGAAGTCAGTGAAGAGCAGAAAGCCTCCTCTAGTCCTCTATGCCTTGCTTATGGTGTACTTCATATCTGGAAAGCACTTGATAACCCCTGAGCTATGGTTCTAACCTGCTTACCTGCATTTTTATTTTCATACCTGGTATCATCTGTTCCAGACCTTCTTGAAACATCTCAGTCTTTTTCAAACTACATTTTCTTTCATTTAATTTAAAGGTTACACTTATCTTGATGGCTGAAGCATCTTCAGGAAGAAACAATGACATGTTATTTTTTAAAAAAGGAATAGAAAATTCAGATAACCCTAATGTCATATCATCACAATGATGACATAAAACAATGCACTGATATAAAGCGAAAAGCAGTCATCACAGAAAACCTAAAGACATGCCATATCCCTCCTGCTGTGAAGCTGGTTCATAATTTGAACTGGAACAAAATGTGGTGAATTTTATTTTAAAAAAGTAAAAAGAGAAGAAGAATGAGAACAAGTTCAGATCTGCTATTGGGTAAATCAAATAAAGGTTAGCTGAAATCAAAGGAGATACTCCAGATCAGTTCAGCAAATAGTTTATGTCTATGTAAAATAGCACATCTTATCTGTTTAGCTGTAAATGCTTTCTAAACTTGACCATCCAACAGTTCAATCTAAACATATTGTATCTTGCCAACACTCCCCACTCTGGATGCCTCAAAAGAGGCACAACACTCCCTGTCTGGCTGTTTATTTCACTACTGATCTCTTTCTTTATTTTTAAGTCTTAGTCTGAGTGATCCTGATTGAAGCAGCACAAGGGGAATTTTCTGCTGCAATCACGAACAACAATCATGAAGATGAGGAAATAAAAACAGAGAGAGTAAAATAGAAAGGGAAAATAGAAAGTCAACAGAAACACCTTTATTTCACAGTTATCAACAAAAATAAATCTGTCAAACCATGCAACAGTAAATGTTGTGATTACCCAGCCAGCTGGAAGCATTTGTATTTTGCTGCTTTTTCTTAAGCTGAGATGACCTGCCACAGGTGAGGGTGTAGGCATCTTGTGTTCCTAACAGACAGACCAGACAGACAGAGAATAAAAGCATAGGCACAGTGCACAGACTGAAGGCTCCTATAGTATGAAAGACATTTTTAATTTGTTGATCGGCATCATCACCTTCACCTTTTTTAACAATGTTGTTCATAAAATACTCTGTATTAGAGCTTGTCTCTTTCTAAGACACTTAAATGGTTCAGGAAGAAAAACAGCATTTGTCCCACAAGCACTGGTTGAGTCCCCATGCCGTGTCCTGTGGGATGGAGGGGCTGCACAGGCAAAATCCCAGACCCCACACAGGGCTGGAATGCCTTCGCCCCATTCAGCAGTGGCTCTCAGAGCCATTTAAGGAATGGCCCAGGGAGAACGGAGAATTCTGCCCTGTCCTCCCCAGCTCCAAAAAGACAGTTGTCATGAGAAGGGAATCTGAGGGTAGAGTGGTTATAAAAGACAAGGAAAGAGGGGCTTTCCTGGGACGCTGTCAGGGATGTAGACTTATATTATCTGTAGTGAAAGAGGAAAGATCCCTGCTGATTGTCTCCATCTTGGGGTTTCCATGACAGTTAGGATATTTGCCCCACTGACACTCTCTACAGAATCACATGCTTGGTTTGGTCAGTTTTGACTTACCAGAAAACACCTGGACATCCGGAGAGCAGCTTAAAAAGCATCTATCACTCCCACCACTCTTAATGCAGTGCAGCAATACCTTGGGTGACATGTTATCAGGCAAGGGACCTTTTGTTTCTAAATAAGATAAAACAAATACTCACAGAATTAAAACATCTACCTACACCCTACTAATAAATTGACAAGCAGCTGCTTTTGTAGCACCCATGCAATTAATATGCTGCTTAGACAGAAAATCAAAGCAAAATAAAATCACTGGAAGATGACATCACTTAAGCAATTTCCTTTATCATAAGCAAACCTTCTCATGCAGAGAAACCAAAGGAAATAGAAGAACGAGCTGGATAAAAGCACAGGAAAGAAAGCACCAAAATCCCTCAAAGTATCTCCTGTTTTTGGGGTTGGTTTTTCGCTTGTTTTTATGAGTTTCAACATCATTACCATCATGCCTTGCTAAAAAGCAAAGCAGAATACCGGGAACAATGACTCACACCACTTAAACTGGACAGACCATCAGATTTGACTGTAACCATATGGCCTTCACACACACCAGGAGTGGAAATGTATTCACTGGACACCTTACCAACACAATCCTTTTTATTCCAGTGTAACTTGTAGTTAGAGTGACACAGGCATTCATAGTCTCCCTGCGTGTTCACACACAGCTGTTGGCAACCACCATTGTTGATGCTACATTCATTAATATCTACGGAGGAAAGGTAAAAATAGTTACAAAAAGTTTCTCTTCCCAAAGTTCTATACTCTAACTCCTCTAGGTAAACATGTACAGAGGCACTGCTTAGTAGAGTATGGAAAAGACTTTAGGAATGCTATCTAGACACCCATTTTGAACTAGTTTGTCTTCCTGGAAATGCTGTGATAAATTTCAAAATAGACCAAATGCTGGTGAAAGGGAAATGCTAACTGTGTCATTAAACTTCACAATTAAACAACATCCAGCCTCAGCAATATGATAGCACATTAACTCCAAGAAAAGGAGGTCAAATCAAATATGCATTGTACTGTGTTTGCTTAATTAGTATTTCTAATTTGAAATAAACACAGACAACAGACAAGATTCATACTCATTGATTCTCCAAGTGCTCTGACAGATACAACTACTGTGGAATATGGTTTGACTCTGTGGGCAGACATTGTGTCACCATTGTCCCTTTTGGCCAATTATCCAATTTTAGGGCCTTGTCCCGCCCAATAAATGCCAATAGGAAGAGAAACCACTGGCAACACAACATATTGCCCTTGGTGCAAACTTGATTGCTGATGCAAAATATACCATTCACTAGTGCTCTATCCCAGGGGTCAATACTGGGGCCAATACTATTTATCCTCCTGATTAAACCTGGATGATGGGACAAGAGTTCACCCTCAGTAAGTTCGCAGATGACACAAAACTGGGAGGAGTGGCCGATACACCAGATGGTTGTGCCACTATTCAGAGGGACCTTGCCTGGCTGGAGAACTGGGTCAATAGGAATCTCATGAATTTCAACAATGGGAAATGCAAAGTTCTGTCTTTGCTGCTCAGATCCACCCCCATGACTGTTTCACTTGTCTCCTGTAGCTTTATGGCAATTATACATAGACCTAGAAAGCTGCCATCAAGAAACCTATCACAAGTCCCATGAAGTTTGTGCAACTGAGGGTACCTGCTTCTACATACAATTTTCTCAGTGGTAATAACGAGTTCTTGTCACTGTTCTCCCCAGCCACTTGTTTCCCCCTTAGTATCCTCTAAGGAACAATTTGTTAGAAAACACTGTGAAACACATTACAAAACTGATCTGAATCTGGGGGAAAATATCCTCTTAACTGAACTTAGACAGCAAGGGTAGGAATAATGGAGAAAGAAGGGAACACCTTAAACTTGTACTGCTGCCTAAGATACTACAAAATCAGCCCAAATCTTTGGTTTTCATTAACCTTTTGTCAGGATGCTGCATGCAACCTCCAGTGTTTATTGACTTCTTCTATAGAGGTCAAAAGGTTTATACTCAGTATTCCTACCAGCTTTGACACAGCCTTGACACTTACTACAGTATGAGGATTAACATCTTCTGCCCAAGAATAAGAAAAGGCCAATTAGCAAAATTACAGCAAAATTACAGTTCCTTTCCCTCTCTGGTGGCCATAAGAAATTGAATTAAGCCAGAAAAATTCATGAGAACAGACTTCTTTTTGCAAGTAGAGCACATCAACAGTGTTATCCCTTATCCAGTCAAGTTCCCATGTTCATCAGGATACAACATAGTGATGTTGTAGTCCTGTAATCTCCTTTGCAAGGAGGCAGAGGAGAGTAGAGGCAGAGGGTAGAACAGAGCAAGCACAGAGAGATGTCTCAAGTGTTCCAGTTGGTAAGGTTTTACCGAGTCAGTGAGGTCTTGCCAAGAGCTTATATAAACCAAATTTAATTCCATTTAGTGTCCCAGTTACTGCTATATTAAATCTTGAAATTTGTCACACAAATATTCACATTTGACACACATCAAGGTTCTCTGAACATCTTTCTATTTCCTTGAACTGTTCTTGTAGGAAAGACATAAAAGATTCAAGAGTATTAATCTTGGCCACTACATCATGTGAGGATCTGACATATGCACAAAGGCAACCTGCAGAACCATAATTTTAGAAGTCATTCAGAGCTTCCTGCTCTTTAAATCCTTTTCCACTGACTTTTCACTGACACTTCTGCATGTGAAAATTGTATCAAATTAGGGTTTTCATATCCAAATGCAAAACCTATCAGCTTGTCCTAATAGCAACAGGTAGTTTTTGCACGTGCAGTGCGAAGGTAAAATCACTTGAGCAAAGAAAGAAATAAACAGGATTATTTTCTACTTTTGCCGTGTCTCATTATCCTGGCTAAGAGTAAAAATTACTCCATGGGCCTCCTACATACACCTCAGCTTGCGTCTTGCGCAGACAATAACCAGACCTGTGGCAACAGCCCTCTATCAGCAACAGCCTGTGGTGCCTTTCCATAACTCACCTCCACAGTGTGTGAAGCCATAGAGGGCGTATCCTTTGTTGCAAGTACACTCAAAGGTGCCTGGGTGATTGATGCACGTGTGGTCGCACGTCCGCTCGAAGGAGCATTCATCAATGTCTGCAGGTTTTAAAGGGATGCCTCAGTATCTCTCAGGCTGACAAGGCAGCCCTGATGAGCCAACAAAGTTGGACGCAGAGATGTGCAGATTTATGTAAACCAAGCAAATTCTTTTGAAGCAAACAATGTAACATAATGAAATGACAACTTTTAAAAGAGCACTTAGCTTGCCAAACAAGCTTTTTCTTGGCAAACGCAAAAACTGCTGTTACATTTTTTAAATTATGTTTAAAACGAATTATTTCTCTTCTATGAGAGAAGAAAACTGCTGACAAAACTCTTATTTTGTTTAGAAAAGTCGACACAGAAAAGAATTCTACAAAAGGAAGTATTGCCTTTGCTTTTTCTCCCTAAATGAAAGCGAAGGCCACAATTTTAACTCCATATGAACATACAGTGTCTGATTTAAGCCTGCTGAAAATCACCGTGTTCTCCAAGAATGAACATTTATTACACCATCAAAAGAAACTAAAACCTCTGTGCTAATACGTTATGCACGCCATGTAAGAATGCTGCAAGACACAAAAAACTTTCATATCAACTTCACGGCTTTGTCGTGCTTCAAGATATCACTTCTGAAACCAGTCTAGGGAAAGTTACAGAAGTGACAGGGACAAAAGGGAGATGTAAGTCTTTAAAATACATATATAAACAAATTACATCTAAAATACCCCCACAATATATCTTGAAAATATGATGTTTATATAGTAAGTTTGCTCCATATAAATAGCTGTCCTCCCTTGTCTGATTTATAAAGGATAAGAATACAGCACAAACCCAGGTGAAAGTTACTTTCTGATGGTCAGTTCAGCCTCCTGAAATTAATCATTAATGTCAGATAGTTGTCTAGGAAATGGCATAATTCACCATTTGGCTGATTGACATTACCTCGTTTCATACTGTAGCTTTTCCACAAAAACGGAATATTTTGATATTTAAGCTTTTATGCATTTAAGCAGTTTAAGCAGGATTGTTAATTCCATATGTACAAACCACTATACAGCAAAGCAAACATGCTGTGTAAGTCTCACAGGAGAAATCCACATTATCTTCAAAATCAAATGCTCTATGATGTTTTAGAGAACAGTGTTTCCAGTCTGTCTCCAGGCCTATAATTTCATAGAACATGTTATATCTTTCTCCTTTAATAATGAACTCATGGCAATGAAATGTCCTATCAAGAAAAAATAATTTCACTGCAATGGTGAATCAGTCAGTAAGATGGACCAGGAGACATGGTCTGATTTTCCCTGTAAATTATTTTAAGATCATTAAGGCGGGGGGAAGTATTAACCTCGCACAAAGGTTTTTAATATGATGCTGTCTCTGTCACTTCCTGATAATAGCTCACTGTGCCATTAAACATATCTCCTGCAATAGTATCAAGCCAACTGTATTAACTCAACAGCTGTTTCAGAAGAAAAAAAATCCAACACTGAGGAATGGAAATTATTCTGGAGTCCATTATCACCTCATCATTGTAGTAGATGTCCAAGCCACGCTGATTTGTCCTACTTTTGTTCTACTATTGTCTCTCCAGTGCACATACCTTGACAAGACTTCTCATCTGTTAATAATTTAAATCCTTTTCTGCAGCTGCAATCAAAACTGCCAACAGTGTTTTTACAGAAATGATCGCAGCCTCCATTATTGGACTGGCATTCATCAATATCTGTAACAAAAAAAGCACTTCAACAAATAAACATAGTGCACTCAACATACTTCCACCGCCAGACCAAGGAAACAGTCACATCCAGTTGGTTGGAGGAGTCCAGAAACAAAATCCAGTGAGAGTACCACAAAAGGAGGATCAGATCCAGCTCTTAAGAAGGATCTGGCCCATTCAGTCCCAGGACAGTGTTATTTCCTCTCATTTAACATACTGCTGTCGGTTACATTTGGGTATATGTATTCATAAAAGACCATTTCCCTAAGTTCTGTTTGGAAGCACTTTGACTCCAACGCTCTCTAAAAGGTTTTAGCATTTTAAACATTCTCTCCATTTCCTCTCTGTAAGCCCAGCAGAAATCTCACACAGACTTCCTGAGCTAGCCTGTCCTTTTCATGCCAATATTAGAATAAGGCCTTTATCTAATATTAATTGACTCAGGCACTGGGATTTCATCATTTTTGCTTAGCAGAACAGTCTTAACATCTAATTACTGGAAAACATATTCTAATATACAACCTAACTGTCCCTTTGCTCCTTGCCAGTACTCTCATTAGAGCCAGCTGGACCAGTATATATTTATAAAACACACCCCTATTTACCCACTGATATTTACTTACAAACTGTTCTAATACCCAACTGCGGGTGAAACAGCAGACTATTGCACTGTATACCTGTAAGCACCTACATGCCTCCTTCTCCCAGCACTGACCTCTACCTCACCACAGGCCTTTATTACCTCTACCAAACCTCACCTGTGAAAAATGAGGCCATCTTGGCATGAGAGGTGGAAGTGGTGAGGGGCAGGGCAGAGCAGAAGAGATTCTCTGCACGTGATACACCTGATGTGATGGAAACCACACCTCTACCCTGGCTGCAGCCCTCCCTTTGGTCAGATTACACATGCACTGGCTTCCCTCTGGACTACCCTCATTTGGAGATTAACACCTTACAGCAAGGCGTTGGTAGGCACAGGTCTACAATCACAAAACTCACCTTTACATGTCTTGCCATCAAACTGGAGCGTGAATCCCACAGGACAGCTGCAGTGAACTCCGGTCGACGTGTCCTTGCACGTGCGATCACAGCCGCCGTTATTCACTGCACACGTTTCTGGCCAACAAGACAAAGCTGAAGTTTGCTCAGGGATATTATAATGGTAACAGGAAACACATGTGATACAAAGCACAGTTCCAAGCACACTGCCATTGGAACACATTTAGTGTAGTGCACATGAGCAGCTACTAAATACATGTGTTGGCAAAACCCCTGCCTCAGCTATTTCCAGGTTTTGTGCGGAGACTCTACAACCTAAGATATTGTCCTCTGGGTATTCTTGTCCTTAAATGCAAATCCCTGCTCCTTGATGATGAATCTGTTACTGTCAGTCTGTCGCCTTATTCCCACCCTGAATCCTGGCTGATCCTCTGACACTTCCCACCCATGCTCAGACACTTGATTATACTTCACACTAGTAAACCACTTTTCTTAAATCCCTCCCAACACACCTTCCCATCCTACCCGTGCCCCCAGTCATAGTGGATTACACCCACACTGGTAGCCCATGTGCCATTTTGCCATTTCAACCGAGGTTTGTTGGCCTAAGTTCCCCCTATGCAAACTGTGTCTAAATCTCACCAAACTCTCTAATGAACACCCCTAAAACACGGTTCTTCACATCCAGCTAAACAGAAATAACTCACTCTTTGGCATCTATCCTCTTGTAGTCAGTCTAACAACCTTATCACTGGCTGGACAAATGCAATTTTATATAGCACATACTGATTGAGAGAGCTGCAAAGAACATTTTTTATGTCTGCTTTTTGAAATCCTCTCTTTCTAGCTCTATATCCTAGTTTTCTGCAGCATCAAGCATGTGCCACTCATTCTCAGGTTCTGATAATTTACTGGTTTATTCCCTTGCAGTCTCTCATCTCACATTTTATTGGGAGGCTGTGTCCAGCCTTCAAGGAAGACAGAGTGCATCTTCTTTCTTCTTCTTTCCACAAAAATTATGTCTTTTTTTTTGGAAAACAAGGGTATTTATTTAGGTGTCTGAACATGGACTCAAGAGCTCAGGGCTAGCCCTACACTTTTGGTGGCTTCTTTCTCAGCCTCCATGCCACTCCAGCAGTAAGTGCCAATAAGCACAGTAAATCACCCTGGCTACATGAAGAAAGGGCTCTCGAGAGGTGGACATCCACTGATCCAGCTGCCCTGAGAAGACAGTGATTGTTTCTCATGTCAGTGCCTTCCCTGCAGTGACAGACTCCTAGAGACTAGCATTCTGGGCCAGATGGGAACACCTCTAGGAATAATAAGACAGCCTTGCACCCTAACATGTCCTTCTAAATGCAATCCACTACTGGGCCCAACTCTCTTCCACACAGAAGCATACTTTCAGTTGAAGAGAAGCAGGTAAAACACTGCTTCCTCCATCATCTAGGCTAAAAAAAGGGCTAAAACTGTAGCACAGAAAGGGTTGTACTACATTCCCATGGTGAATTAGAACCATGGAACTATACACTGCAGCACACAGACACAGCCCAAAGGCAAGTTCTTGATACTCCCCCACTGACCATCACAAATAATGTACATAATTTTTAACACATTATGGAATAATATTATTTCCTTAAGAGGGAGTGAAGCATCAAAGGCAGAAATCAGTCCAGAGTTGATGATTAAAATAAAAAAATTTTTAAAAACACCAAACCCACACAAATTCTTTGATCCAAAAGGTTTCGACAAACAGCAGAATTATTTTGGATCAGCACTTTTACCCATAAGCAACCGTCGCTTCACCCTCTTATCCACATCAGCTGCTGCTGTGGTGTTCCCCTCTGAAACTTCAACAGCAGCCTCTTCCCTCTCTGTAAGGAACGTGAAAAAAGCCAATGAGTAAAGGCACCCTGACCAGAAACCTCATCCGACTTTCGATACGTACACACGTGCAAACTGCTGCATCATCAGAGACAGCCAGTACTGACTAGGCAGAAGTAGATTATTTTTATAAAGAAAGTAATAATGAAAATCATGAAGATCCTTCAGTCAAAACCATGAGAATACTTTGCTTCTGTGGCTGCCTTAAAAGTCATGTTTGCTTCAGTATTCTTAACAAAACAAAAGATGTGCCACAGATGTAGTAAACGGCAACAAGATAAAAGAACTAATTGAACTGTCATGAACTGTTCTCTTAAGAGCACACTGTCATCATCTATCATGGACAAATACAAGGACTAGCCAGTTACGTCTAAGCATTTGATTTCAATCAACAGACAACAAACTCTTCCAGAGACTGGAAGAGTATAAATCTTAAGTACTTTCTTTACTGGATAACTGCTTTGCAGAAATTGTACATTAATTGATTGCAGAGTTCTGGTTTTAACAGATGCCTTCCTTGGTTACACTCTGGCTCATGCTATACAAGAAACTGCACCTAAAATATCCTAGAGGGAAGGAAGTAAGTCTTCTTTGGTTAGTGGCAGGCTTTGTGCTTCAGAGGGGCCAGTGATAATTGCAGGCTGCAATAGTATTAGGTAGCAGCTTACATAGAGAAGCATAAGTTGTCTGGACCCAGCACTAGCAGGTTTCTTAATTTTGAATTCCTTGACACTTTCTAGCCATACTATTATGAGGAGCATTAATCATGAACACACAGTAACCTCACACCATCTTAGAGTTGGTCATCAACAGCAAACTCCACCGTATACTGACCCAGGCAGGTTTTCCCATCCACATGCATGATGTACTTGGGGTGACATCCACAAATAGGCCCATTATCAGCATCATCACACGTATGTTGACAGCCCCCATTTCCATGATTACATGTTACTAGGAAGAAAATATATTTCACATCTCACAAGTACTTCCAGCATCTTTGAAAGACAGTATAAAATTCTGTTGCCATTTGACCATCCACATCTTCCTAACATGCCCCTTTCCCAAGGAACTCTGCCACAATGGAGCTGAACTTGCTGTCATTATAAATGATGGCACAATTCCCAAACTACAGACAGTATAACAATTAATAGATTGGTGTGATAGTGTCCACAAAAGGCATTGATTCTATCTTAAATTCAAATGCACACAACTTAGGTGTGTCATCCCACTTTAGCTGTAACATACCAAATCCCACATCACTGCAAACAGAACACTATTTGTTCACTTTGGGAAACCATAAGCACATGCAGAATGTTGCATACAAATGCAGCTCCTCTGATTCTTGGACAGTTCAAATCCTGGTCGGCATTCACAGGCAACTCCTCCTTTGGGCGTTTCTCTGCAGATGTGGGCACAGCCGTGGTCTTTATTCATGCAGCTCATGCCTTCTGCAAAACAGAACAAGTGCAAGAGCATCAGCACCCTCAGCATCTCTGTGTGCAGGCAACAAAGTCATTCAACACACACACAGAATACAGCCTGCTACTTGTGGGAAGACTATAGTGTCAGGGCAAAAAGTTTCAGTTTACAGACAGGAAAGGCAAGAAGTCATCCTGCAAAGTCAATAGCCCCAAGGTTTCTCTTTCTGTGATCTTTTCTGCGCCCATGTTCTTTCACTGTAAGGTCAAAAAGCAACATCCCTAGATTTGTACTGACCCTACATTCTCACCCAATGCTCTCACTTTATACCAGTGTTCATAAAACCTCCTCATTTCTTTTATAAAAGTTGCAAGGTGGCCGATACCTGGAAAGATTCAAGTCTAAAGTGAAGTTCTTGTATCCCTGCAAATGAGCAGCCACCAGAATGTTTAGCCAACAGTAACAAGAGTCATCCCAATTTCAATTACTGGCCTACAAAGCAGATTCCCAAAGTCAAAGGCTCAGCAGTGACCAAAGAGTGACCAGGCAGACATGAAGACTGTACATGTGCTGTACCTCAATTCTCTTTTTTGTTAACCATTTTCTTTCTTTTTTTTTTTTTATTTCAACAAATGCCACTCAAAATAAACCCACTGGGGAATATCAGTATTCTGTACTTCTACATACCTTCCCAGCCAGCCAGAATTTAGTGCCAGTGCCTTCTTTAACCAAATGAAAAAGCAGTGTGACACTAGGGACTGTATTCCTTTTGCTGCACCTCCTAAAAACATCCTGTCGTTTTTATCTCTGACAGTTACAAGCTGTTCATGCACAGCACTGCCTGACTGCCAGAGCGTCTTCTCTGGCCTTTGTGAAACGATACAGACATTTCAACAGGAAGGAATAGTTCCTAAAATTGTTACAAAAACTTCCTTCACCTTGCCCCATGGTTCAGTGAAATCAATGCCTTTACCACTGGCAGGATAGTGACACCATTTGTGCACATTGAACACAAAACCAGCAGCTGGCTGAGTTATCAGATAGGATTATTAGACCAAATTAGACAAAGAGTTTTTCTTTCAACAGTATACCACAGATTTTTGATTAAGTCCTCTATAGTGCTCCAAAACTGGGAGAGAAGACAGCTGAATGCTCTCCTCAGGTATAAAGAGAACACACTTTTGCCATAAAATTCTCTGTCTTGGTGCATTTGGCTTTAATAAGACAAGGTACACCAAAATGCTCTTTCTCAGTGACAACATTTCATTTGAGAAGACTAAGTGGAACATACTTTTGCTGCAAGGGCTTGTCCCGCATCACCTCAGTGAACTTCTACTGAGCTGAGCAGATGCACAATGAGGGGCAGAACAAAAAGGGTGACCATACAGCTAAAACGGGATGGTGAGAACAATTCCACACCTGACATCTTTTTTAAACTTACACAGCCCTTTTTGCAGCCTTATTACTAAATGACACAAACCCACTGCATTGTCAAGCAGAGAGGTCAGCTCGTCACTATTATTCCACTACACTTCAATTAGGTCCCTGCTCTACACTGCTATTCTGGCCATCTAAGCACCAGCTACAGTATCCTTTCTCTATTAAGACAGCTTAAGCAACAAAAGAATGGACGTTGCAGAGCCCAGATTATTCTGCTCTACTGGCTTTTTGATTCCTTTCCCACAGTGAGGACTCTCTAGAAGTCCAACAAGACAATGAGACTTCAAATCCTGCAGCACATAAGACACAGTCCAAGGAGCCCACATGAAAGCTGTCATCCATTATTGTGTCAGTCAAAGAACAGTCAACCTATGAGGCCACAAATTAGCCTCATTAATGCCAGTGTTTTGGAGAAAGTTCTGGTCTTTAGCATGCAATATGATTTGGTCTGTTAGCTCAGAGGCATTAGAGAGCATTAACAGAATTAGCAGCTTAGTTTCTGTTAACAAAGTTATTCTTTTTGTCTCTACTGATCTACCAAAAAGAAAACTGTTCAAGCAGGTATTTTGGTAAAGTTCACTGAAACCAGACAAACTGTTTAAATGCTCCATTTGGGATTGCTCCGTTCTGAGTGAGCAGAATTCAATCAGGTCTCCACAGGAAGCTGAAACTGCACTTTCCAAACCAGGATGCATTTTAACAACAAAGTACCCATTGTGTGACGAGGTACTTGACCAAACCCACCAAAATGTGGCTGGCCCAAAAGGTAGCACTTCAGAGAAGATCCCTGCAGTCACACATTCTCGCATTTACTGTGAAGCTCCTGCTTGTTTCCAAAGGTGGTGGAAGACTTCTCTCATTTTAAAAGGTTGTTTTAAAGAGACATCTGTAAAGCCATAAATGCTGTGTGACTCCTTCATGGACACAGAGTCTCTCAGGTCGCACTGTTCCCAAGCTGTTGCAGTGGCAGACTGTGATCCAGAACCAAATCCCAAACAAATTTTGGTCAAATCCCACCACATGCTTCCCACCACAATTTCTCTTGCACGAGACCCTGCCCAACTGACACACAAGTATCTTTGGATGGATGACTCTCGATTGCCACACTCAGCCAAGAGAGACAAATCCAGTGCCTGCCTGGCCAAAAAGATCCCAAACCAGATGAGTCCTTTCTGATGACTGGACCTTTTTGAAGTTACCCAGCAAATTATCTGAGCACTCCCATCCCTGGCAAACTGCAGGCAAGAAAAGCCAGCACAGTATTTCCCTATCAGGTCACTCTGCATTAATCTATTACATGTATGACCTGTGTTTAAATCTTTCTCTTTTTTTGGCACAGGAGATGTGGGGACAACATTTCCAGTCTGCTAAGAGCATCAAGGCTCCATTTAGAGCACACTCAGGCATTCAACAGGACAGGGGGAGAGGATGCATTTGTACAAAGAGTTACCATAGATTCTCAGAGGTACCCTCTAAAAGTCAAGTGTTGAGCTCAGGCAGCAGAAGAGGACATCCCAGGAAATGCTTTACTCTTTTTTCATGCTTTCTACACCCTAGTGTTAAGGTAACTTTTCCCAAAAACCTTTCCAGTTAACACTGTTCTCCACAGTCAGAAGGACTCCAAGAGCAGCAGCTGAGATGGTGCCCTGTGTACGAGCTTTCAGTCCACACAGTAATTTCAAATGTGGCTTTCATCTTGCAGATCCCGTTCGCTTCCATTGATTCAGCCCAACAAGCAGATAGCTATGCCTGTGAAATACCACAAGGGAGAGCAGCAAGATTTGCCATCCACTGCAACAGCAACCACAAGATGTGCTGCGTATTTTACATCTCTTGTCCTTCAAAATTTTGTATTCTGTAATATGGTGCAAGTTAAACACAGAAATGAGATACATATCCATGCCTGTCCTGCCAGCTACTTTAACAGCCTCCCAAGGCTGAGAAATTCATTCTCCCACATGTGGATGAAGAAGAGCTTGTTTAGTGCAGACAGACAAGGGGAAAAAAATAGGATTGTTCACAACTTCCCAGGACACTTTCAGTTCCTGTGACTTAAGCAGGGGCTAGGCAGAACCATCAAGAGCACCCCTGTGCTTCAGACCAACACAGTCACAACAGAAGAAAAAAATCAACCTTAGTTATGAAACTCTCCTCTAATAGCTGTCTCATTTTGAGTCCCATGTCACAGCAGGTGACAAGTCACCCCGAGGAGAGTTACAGATAGACTTTGAAGGGCAGATGACTCTCAGGTTCCCCTCTTACACTGCTCCTCAGAAGGAATACAAGAGCCTCAAGCCTCTCTCTTTTTCCTATCTTAACTTTCCAGTTCACTCTTTTCCTGTGTATGTAATGGCCAGTATTGCAGAACACAAGGAAGGTCTCTCAGGCATTAACATACGAACAATCTTAACTGGGCTGGAAGACAGGGAAGGAAATATTCCTTTATATTACAGACAAGAAGCAAAACTGAATACATGGTCCAGGCAGCAGGTGCCAAAGGTTGCTTTGATCAATGTTGTGAGGTCTCAAGAGAGAACTAATAAAGAACATACACTGAACGATGCGTGCACAAGGCAGAGAACAGAAGTCCCAGCAATGAGCAGAAAAGCAGAGAACAAAGTAAGGGGAAAGATAAAGCAGGGAGATGGGGTTTACAACAGATCTGCCCACCCAAGGGAAAAAGAAGTTTAAAAAAAAAAAAAAGAACATGGGGAATCCCATGGAGTGCTTTACAGTAATGGAAGGGAGGTGGGAGGGAAGCAGTCACAGCATGATCACCTGAAAAAATTGCTTTTAAAGAAAGCAGAACAAGCAAGAAGAAAAAAAGCATTTAACGCAAAAACTGTGTTTATCTTCCTTAAGACTGGTTCTTATAAAAATATATTTTTATTTAGTAGCTTTTAGGGAAAAAAAAAAGGATCTTCTTTCTCCATCTTCATTTTTCTTTTCAAAGAAAAATCCCCAAATTCAGTGGTGATTTGGTATTACCAAAAAAAAAAAAAATAGAAAAAAAAGAAAAAAAAAGCGCCTTTTTTGCAAAAAAAAAGTTAAGAGAAATTAACTGCATCTTCCAAAAGAAGACAACAGAGGTTGAATTCCATGTGTACAATTTAGGGAACAAATATTAACGACAGGGAATGTTGCTGTTGTTAGTTCGGGAGAGCAGAAGGTACTCAAGTAGCAGCAAGTACGAATAAAGAGTTGGAGGTTTTTCCTCCCTTGGCATCAGACAAGACAAGGAGATCAAGCAAACAATTTTCACTCTTAGACACATCATCCGTTCATGCACACAAACACACGTTACTGTTAGCAAGGCAACACAAAGGGAAATGCCTTGTCCCAGCACTGCAGCCTTCCTGCTTGTCCCCACTCCTGGCTCAGCCCCTGCAGCGGCAAGACGGGCAACAGCCTAAGAAATCATCACCTGATCCCCTTGAGACCAAGCCCAGGAGCAGAGAAGCTGAGAACAGAAATTCTGAAGTCAAACAAAGGATCAAGTCACTCTGTTAGATGACAGCCACCTCTGAATACTCATCTGTGGATGGTCATATACATCTATGAATGTTGATCTCTTCACTATGGGGATTTTTAAAGTGAGATTTGTTTATTCATGCTTAGATTCCTCTTACAGTCATGCCAGTGATAAGCCATAGATTAAAGAAAGCTTTGCAGCTTTAAATACTTCTTACTGAGATTTTCACCATACAGTTCAATGGACAACTCCCTGATCTGAACAACCACTTTAAAGTATTCCCTGAGGGCATCCAAAATAATTTTGTTCAATCTGATGTCTGATTAGATATCCAAGACTCTCTGATCTCTCAAAGGTCGCTTCATAAAGGTTTCACTCAAAACAAAGAACGCGATTTGAATACCTTTGGGGCTGACAAACAATAAATCTCTTAGCTGAAACCTAAACACTGCACAGGGAATCTAAAAGGTACCTGAAGGTAATGCAGGTATTGCCCTGTAACTGAAGTCAATAAAAATGGCTGGGACTTGATGTCCTTCCATTTGTTGCCATTCCTCGGATCAGGACACAGCTTAGCTGCACAACAGAGCACCAAGTACACCGGGAGTACAGCAGTGCAGCCTTTAACAAGCACAACACTGCAGACATACAGGTGGGATCAAAGAGGCAGAAGGGATGTAGAGTCTTCAAAGCCACTTAGAAGATTCTGACACACTGTTCCCTTTAAAAGCAGTGAGGACTTCAAGACACTTCACAGCTTTGAAAACCTCAACCTACAAATACTTTCGAAGATGCTTTGGAGATTTTGCGGTCAGCCTCTGTCAGAAACTGCTGCCTGGTGCCTGGAGGGCAGCAGCCAGTACCTTCAGAGCGGTGGATGCAGGTATGCTGGTTATCACTCAGGAAGAACCCTTCCTTACAGCGGCACTCATAGCTCCCCACGGTGTTGACACAAACATGCTGGCAGCCACCGTTGTTGAACATGCACTCGTCTGTGTCTGAAAGAGAGAGGAGAAGAGAGGGATCAGCTCTGTGCTGACACCACAACACTCAGTGTGCACACAGACGGACATCGACTCCACTGTAACCGTGTAAACACCCAGGCAGCTGAGACACCCCAGGCTACCCTGTTGTTGTTGTGCTGTCACCCTTGGGAAAGCACATTTTTGCTGCTGCTCTTCCCCTGTTTGCAGTTTGCCCAAGTGGTCACAGGGCCCCCAAGAAATGCTGGCCAACTCACCAGGGTTGCCTGTTACAGCTGAGGCAGAGTAGCCTCAGTGGAGCCAGAAACAGGGTTATCTATCCACTACCCACAGGAACATTCCCTGCCCCTCGTGCAGCTGGGTGGCACCACCACACCACAGTTTCATCTGGGTTGAGCAACCATACGTGGATCTGTCTTGCTCAGTGGGATGCAACTTTGGCTCCAAACCCTTCCAAGCTATAAAAGGTGTTTTACCAGAAAGCCTCCATTCTGAAGCAAAGGGAAAGCAGGAAAAACACAAATCTCAAAACAAATTTAGCTAAAAACTCATCCCCTGCTCCTTACTTTCACCCTAGCTAGAACTCACACACCACATCTGTTCATCAGGACATCATAAGCTCGGGTTGATTTATCATCTCCTCCCTCAAGTCTAGGCCATCATCACTTATCATCAAGGCTGCTGCTATGTTGCCTCACTGCAGTCAAGGACAAGAGCAGAAGTTCTGGAAACAGTTTTAAAGTTGATTTTGCAATATTCAGAGTTTCAGCAACACCAGAGAACACAGAAGGGCTTTGCTTGCAAGACATCCAAGAGAACCAAAGAGTAGAAAAACTTCCTCTAAGCCTGAACAACAGGATGCTCATCCCAATCTCCAATTCTTTGCAATTTTACCCCTTAATAAGCACAGGGGTTTTGTAACCACTACCAGCAACTAATTTTCCTACCCTAATTTTCAGAAATGCCATTTTAACAGGAAGTAAAAATGCTCCGTCAAACAGTACAAAACATCACTGAGGCAAAGCACTGGTCTCATTTGCAAATTCATATGAAACATTGTGTTAGCTCCCTGTTCTGTTCATTGTTCCTGGCTCATAGTACAATGTTTTTAATTTAACATTGTAGCATTTCTGGCAGAAAACAGCTGTCTTTTTAAGAAGGAGAAAGAGAGGCTTTTAGTAAGAAGCATAATATAGTATTACAACAGATTTAATGTCTACTGAAGGCAGTGAGTAAGCCAATTGGATGCAAAAGAATGTGACCTGCTGTAGAAATGGAGCGGCTGACATATCTCCATCACAAAGAAGCTGAGTATTTTAGAGTTCTACAGTGATGTGAATGTGCAAACAATCGTGAATAAACAGCCACCACGAGTCTTTAGTGCTAGAGATTTGAACTCCAGCAGATGTTTCTGTCTTACAGACCTTGGATAGCTTTCAAAAAAATCATCTCTTTCCAACAAGTAATTGTCTATTTGGCTTAAACCCAGGCACACAGCAGAGATCTTCAAAAATAAGGGTGAGAGGAGGGCAACCCTGGCGTGAACAAAGTAAATAAGCAGATTAAGAGAAGATGTGATCCAATTTGCTGTATGCCAAAATATTTATTAAACATTTACATCACATTTCAGAATTGGTGTGTCAGTGGTAAAAACTTTGTTCTATGTCAGTGACATTTTATTTTATTTTATTTTAGAAGTCTGCCATGCAACACTGAGCAGCTTCCCAGTAACATAGCAGGTGGTAGATTTTGGTCTAAGTTATGTCTAGGTCTCACTGATCACAAGCAAGTCAGCTGAAGTATGCTCTGGAGGGGCTGCTGGGTACTATATATATATGTATATATATATATATATATATATATATACCTTTTTGTGGCATTGTAAGAGACAGTGTGTTCATTCACCACCAGCTCTTCATGGTAACCTCAACTGAACTCCACTGTGTATTTACACAAATGCAAAAATAAGAAGGACTTCTTATTATTTTAAATTATCAGTATATATTTTGTTTCCCCCTCTACTTAATTTATTGAAATATTTGGGATCCAGTGACTTCATCCTCTCCTCTGCTTACACTGCAACGAGGTTAATCTGCGGGCACACAACAGGTTCCCAGCAGGTAAAACCCAACGCAATCCCACTGAGTGCTCCAGAGCTTTTATGATTTGTCCCAGCAGAAAATACAGCCTAGGGATGGTCTGATTCCCCATCTGATATGCCATACATTAATGGGAAATACCCCAGTCAAGCTAACTACCTATTAAAATTATGCTCTGAGAGCAAGTTTCCCTCTGACTGACACGGGCATGGAAGCACGTCCAGGCACATCCACGTTGAGTGCAGCAGTAGGGAAAAACCGAGCCATCTCTGGAAAAGCAAATGGGACAGATAGCACAGCGAGGAATCACACAGGGTGTCCAGCCTGGGTCCTGGAAGCAGGGCAGCTTCATCAACAGGAGTCTCTGTCAACAGCCAACAGGCTGACAGCTCATACCTTTCTGTACTTCCTGTACGCTGCTGCACCCCTGTGCTGGAACAAGCAAAGCGACAAAGTCCTGTTACCCATTTTTAAAGCTTTTCACCTGCTGGCACACAAAAAAAGAAACTATCGAGGGCTTAAATAAAGAAATTAAAAAGATGGCCAGAGAAAGTGTGTGCATGCAGGGTCAAGGGAGTGTTGCCAGGATTGAAAACACTTCCAGACTTGTGTACTTTGCTTCACACTAACCACCCAGGGAAACTCCAAGCATTTGGTTTAGTCCCTCTGTACTTCCATGGCCTCTATCATCTATAGCTACTGCATGCTCCAAATCATCCTTTGCTTTCAGGAAGTACTCAGACACAGTAAGGGTGAGAAGTCCCCGCATTATAGATATATGAGAGAGAAGATTTCTAAGCCTGGTAACACAACTTACAACTGATCCTGAACTAACTTTGGAACTGATAGGATAATGACAGCATCTATTCTTTTATATAAACTCATTTAGAATAATAGATAACACTTCATCCACTTAAACCCAGTGCACTCAACAGATATATAGCATAATTATCCTCATTTGCACAGGGGGGAAGAGCCACACTGAGATGGTACATCAGTACCTGGAAATCCTTTGTCCCATATGCAACATTCTCTAGCTGAGCTGATCCAGCCCAGCAGGTAGCCATGTGTTTCCCGTGGATGCAGCTAAAGGGTTCTGTCAGCATCACCACTCACACTGCTTATGAGCACGCTTCTTACCCAGGCAGTTGTGGCCATCATGAGCCAACATAAAGCCATCGTAGCAAGTGCAGCGGTAATTTCCTGGAATGTTGAAACACTCGTGGACACAGCCTCCGTTGAAGTCATTATCACATTCATCAATGTCTAAGGAATAAAGCAAAAGTCAGTATGATGGATGTTTGCTTGAGTGTTATAGACAGAGATGCGACTGCGTAAATGTGAGCAGCAACCGCTGTCCAAAATCATCATCGTGTTGCAAATAGCCTATGTTTAACACACTACTTGCTCTATGTTTCTGAAGACTGACAAAATGCCCTGAGATTCCCTTGCAGTTTTTCTTTCAGTTTTACCTGACATTTTTTAAGGCTTCTGGTTAAACAACAAACTAATTATCAGGCCAAGCGATATGACTAGGTGACAATCCATGCCAACTGTCTGCCTCTGAGTTTGTAAACAAGAAGTAAATCAGGTGAAGAAACAATGACTATTTTGATTGAAAATCATCCCCCATATTCTAAACCGTTTTTTTTTTTAATGGTTCTATCTTTTTAGAAACACTCCATGCTGACACAGGCAGAGCAGGTGCTCCAGTCACTTTACCTTCACATTTCTTCCCTTCACCAGTGTAACCCACTTTGCACATGCACTTGTACAGCTTCGGGGTGTTTTGACAAATAGCATCTGGGTGGCAGTCGTCAAGGCCCAGGGCACACTCATCCACATCTGGGAAAAGACAGCAGATTCAGAAAGGGTGTCAGCAGGAGGAGAACAGGGCATGTCTCGTGCACACATCCCCGATGAGATGACAAGGCTGAGCACCTCTTTATGGTGCGCACGTGCATGTTGTGTGTATTTGTGAGTCAGGACAGAAACATGCAGAGACCATATCTGCACTTCAATTTGGATAATGTTCTACCTGCATATAGATGTATTTGTGTGCAATTCAGGTAAGCTCTTGTTAAACTCTCATATCCATTTATAAATGCATCCAAAACAATCTATTATGGGCCAGCCAGGTGCTCCATGAAACTCAGCTGACAGTTTTAGAGAGATTCATTAGAGATTGTTCATGTTTCTGATTAATAAAAGACAGTTATTGAAAAAATTCTTGATCACATCCATGCATCACCTGCAGGAAGCCAAATGGTTTTTAAACTAACAAGCGGAGTTGATAGAAATGTACTTCCAAAGTCACCACCAACGTGTCAAAAGACCGACTTACCATTAAAAAGATGTATAATTCAAGAATAACTTTTTTAAATACAAGAATAGTATCTGGTGAGCAGCACTGCCAAATAACCTGGCCAGCCATCACAAAGCACAGCATACTGAAGCAAAATATCCAGGTGGAAACTTCAGAGCACAGGAAATGAAGAGAAAGGGAAACACCAACAGGAAGAAGTCCTGGAGATGAAGAAGTGTAGACAGAAGAAGAGGAAGAAAAGTTACAGGCAGCAAAAGACATCAGCAAAAGTTTTTCATACACCAGAAGAGAACTGAAACACAGAAACAGGAAGATTTCCAGCAACTAGCTAAAAGGGAGAATTGTTGAAGCAACACTTCACACAGGTATAAAAACTGACTCCTAAAACAAGAAGTAGTGCACGAGTATCAGCAGAAGGTGACTACTTCAGTGGTCAGCCACTTTTTATAGTGGGGATCACTTTCTAAAGGGGAATTTCAGCCAGCACTTTTCCCATTTACAATTATAGCATTCATCCTGCTTTTTTTTTTTTTTTTCTTTCCCCCAGTCACAAAATATGCCTGTAGGTACTGCAGCAGCTGCCAACTGCAGAAAGTGCTCACTCAGTTTTAACTCCTAATGGGGTTTGGCAGTGGGAAACAAGGCAAAGAGCCAGTGCTAGAGCAGCAGCGCTTTTCTGGCTCTCAGGTGCATCGGGCTACAGTAGCAGCAATGGGGTCCCCAGATACTGCCACCAGAAAGTAAGAAGGTGGAAAACAGCAGAAAAGAGCTGGGAAGAGCAGCAAAATCCCCTTCCTCTCAAAGCAGAAAAGTCAAGCCATTAAAAAACATAGGAGGTGGTGAACTGAGGGAACAAGTCATGCAAGGAGGGGTGCAGGAATGGCCGAGGAGCCTCCAGCTAGTGGGACTCAGGTAGGTGGGGCACAAGGAAAGGACGGGCAAGGAAGGAGCATCAGCCGCAAGCACTGGTTGAGTATCCCCGACACGGACAGCTGTCCCCTTCCCAGCCCGAGCCACAGGGACACACCTGTCCTGGCAAGAGGAGTCCCAGAAAACACACAGCAAGGAGGGGGTTTCCCTAAAAGACATTACACTGACACATCAACTAGATCTCGTGGCAGTGGCGAGACAGCCGCTCTGCTGTCTTCTTTCCACATTAACCCTCTGTGATCTGCAGCATGCGGGAAAGAACCGCAGCAAGGAGCCCCAGCACTAACGCATGCAGAGGCATGGAAAGGAGGGCTAGGAAAAAATCCATAGGCACAGGCAGGGAGATTTCCCCTTGCAGTGTCAGTGTCCTGAGCCGAAGAGAGACCCTGGAGGAACGAGACTGTGAGCAAACATCGCAGCCCTCAACTTGGCAGGAGGCGGCGGAGGCTGCGGGAGAACCGCTGGGCTCGTTCCTCGGGGACCGAAGGCGGCTTCACCCGCGGCACACGCAGTTTACACGCCGCTCCCTCGGCAAAGGTGCCCTGTCCCGGGACTCGTCCCGCTCCCGAGGGAGAGGGAAACGCCGGGAAAGCGGCATTCGCACCCACGGAGCCCGCAGCGCCCTGAGAGCAGCGATCCCCCCGCTCCGGGCACGATCCCACCAGCCCCACCTCGGGATCGGCCGCCGCTCCCCTTTCCTTCCCTTCGCCACCGGCCTCCCCCTGCCCCGGGCACCGCGGCCAGACCATGAGGGGAGGGCGCCGGGAGCCCGGGGGGGACCCGCTGAACAGGGATGAGGCGAGCGGGCAGAGGCTGGGGCAGCGGGCACTCAGCGGGCAAGGGGGCACTCACCGGGTCAGGGCAGGGGACATTTACCGGGCAGGGGGCACTCACCGGGCAGTGGCAGCGCGGCGGGGCTGCCCGGTGCGGGCAGCAGCAGCAGCAGGAGCAGCAGCGGCAGCGCCCTCGCCCCCGTCGCGCCGCGGCGGCCGCCGGACCCCATGGATGGCGCTGCGGCGGCTGCGCTGCGGCTGCTGCTGCCGCCGCCGGGCGGGAGGAGGCGGCGGCCGAGGGAGGAGGTGTCTGCGGGCGCCCGGCCCGCCTCGCACACACCGCGGGCGCGGGGTGGCGAGGGCTGAGCTGAGCTGGGCTGGGCTGGGCGGATCTCCCCTCCCCTCCCCTGCCCTGCCCTGCCCCGCCACTCCCGGCACGCGAACCGCCCCATCCATCCCGCAGGAAAAGCCCCTCCCTGGGCCGGCACCGGCGCTCGCACACCTGCACAGCGCCCCAAACACAGGTGTCTCGGTGCCTCCCGAAGGAGCGCGGATACCTCACACGCAGGCTGCGGGTGCCAGCGGCAACTCCGCCCGGCCCGGGGCTCCCCGCGCTGCCGCGGCCCGGGAAATCATCTCCTGCAGCGGAGACAAGCCCGTGCAGACACCCTGTGTGCCGGCACCCTGTCACAGCCCCAAACATACACAGCTCGCCACAGCCTCACTTGTGCTTCTTCAAAAACACGGCATTACGATTTTTATTGTGTAATTACACCCCATTGCAGTGCGTGAATCCCCGTCTGAAGGCCAAACCCGAGCCCACGCCTCCCACCTCCATTCCCAGCCAGGGATTTCTCACAGCTGTCCCTCCTTTAGCAGGTAAAAGTGGCTCATACATTATTCACCAAAACCACAATTTCCTAACTAATGTCTGACCTTTCAGGGTGCAAGTAAAAGCAGGCAGTATTCTTTTCCAGCCCTCCCTCCCCTTCCCATTTCACTGCCCTTTCTCCTTTGTTTTGTTCTGTGAGAAACACCGAGCTATTTCTAGTTGCAAGGGTGGTTTATACACATTAGTAAATCTTCAGAACGAAACTTTCCCTCAGTCTTTGTCTTTGTTTCCTTAATGGCAGCTATAAATTACCACTCTCCTTTCTCACTGGAGCATCAGGCTTCATTGCTTTTGAAATGATCAAAGTTATTCTCTTTTTAAATCCAATGAGAAACAACCTATTGTGTCTCCTGGATGATTTCAGTCTTAGTCAATCTCATCTCTAAATACATAAAGCTTGCTCATTGAACACTCCAAGGATTCTCCAGACCCACACCATACCCCAAGTGTCCCCTTACCAACAGAAAGTAATAAATGAGCGAAGGCTTTCCTGACAAGTTTCCATGATCTCATGAATAAACAATCATACTTACAATGGGAATTCGCACACCCCTCAAACAGGGATATCAGCTAAGGTGTCTCTACAAACAACTCTCCCAAATGTACAGAGAAGCCACTTCCCATCCAGGTATGTGCCTTCAAGCCATCTCACAGAAAAGCTGATAACACACTTTAGGCACTTTCCAGTCAAGTTTCCTCAGTGAATTTGACCGATATTAATTTAATTAACATTTATCACTAGATTTGACAAAATATATGAAATAGGGACACATATGAAGACTGTAGCAGAAAGAGACATTGAAGAGTCATACACACAAAAAAACTAAAGCTTTCTGAGACATAGTAAAAGCAAAGCATTTTTCTTACTTCTGTAAACTAGAACATAAAGTGAGACATAAACACTTGGGAATGCCTGAGTTAGATCAAAAGACCTCAATGCAGCTTGGAAAACAAACAGAACAATATCAAATTTATCTTAGCTAATGAAACCATTTCTTCTACATAAATCTCCAAGTGTTTTGTGAAGGATCCTGGCTATTATTTCACATACAACACTCCTTTGTTTATGATGAAGAATTGCCATTAAAATATCTCTTTCTTAAAGACACAAACCAGACAAGCTCAGACCTCCACTCAGATGTCTTTGTGTAGCCTTTTTAAATGTTTCTATTCAACTAGAGAGTCACAGGGTACTGCTCTAGCTACTAAGATCTTTACTCGGAGAGAGTAGCTAGAAAAATCCTTAAGACTCAACTTCAGCACTAAGTTAAGTATGAGGAAAGAAAAACAAACATAGCAGGCAGTTCAACAAGAAGAGACCCCTTGGGGATTTTTCCAGCAACTTAAAATAAAATAAAAATCACAAAGTTTCAGGGAGAAAAATAGCTTACTGGTAAATATCTACAAGAATTGTGTGCAAATAGGATATTTTCATACCTTATGGATAACGATCCTAAAACCAACAGCGGTGCTTTTGCTCCTCTGGATACTACACAGCACCTTTGTCTTGAATGGAATATTCATGTTGCCTGGGCCAGAGCCCCATTCAGTTCTGCTCCACAGGTGTTTTGGGGGGAGACAGGTTTGGCTGGTTGATGTTTGGAGAAAAGCTGCATCTCAGGAAACCTGTCTGCTCTTTCCAACCGTACCAGTGCGTGCCGCCACCTTACAGTGTTGCAAAGCCTGGGGCTTCTTGCCACGAACACTGTCAGATCTCATTGTATCAACAGGAGCACAGCCCTGCCAGGAACACCGACTGCTGCTCCAAAGGAACCTTTCCTTACAGGTAAGTTCCCAATTCCCAAATCCCCCGCCTTCCACTTTGAGTATCACTTGTAAGTTGCCTCACACTGAGAGATGGAGACTAAGCTGCCATAGAGCAGCTGGATGTAAAAACTGCTCCACAAATTGTACACCTGTTGCCCTGAGTAAAGAGGATTATTATTCTCTGAAAATTTGGACTATAAACTGTTTTATGCTTCATAATCCATTCTATATTTTCTTATTTGATGATGAGCAAACATTGTCTGAAGACCACTAGATTGCCATTTCCTTTGCACTTTAGTGAGCAATAGCTGCTCAGCCCAGCAGACTTCCAGTGCATCATATTGACCCAAAATTTAACATGACTGAGTGAGCTTAATGAGTGCTTGTGACAGAAGTTGAAAACAGCTGGGAAGGGCATGGGGGGAGGTGCCAAAACAAAAAAAAAAAAAAAAGAAAGGAACAGACAAGTGAGGAAATATATCCAAGTATTTAATTATTCCAAAGCTTTTCAGAGCTGTAGCTTCAAGTCTTACTCAACTCCAGGTGTATGATGGGTTTTGAACAATTGTTTTCTTTTGAAATGAATTGCTCAGACTTTTGCACTTAATATTTCCCGTCCAAGAGTTTTCCAAGCTACCAAATAGGTTGCTGAATTCTGTGTAAAATGACATCTTCAGTAATCAGCATTCAGTTTTGCATTTTAACAGTGACTTTCCTTGGAAGCAGAACCTGCAAAGGGCTTATCTCAGGGAAAGAGGAAATTTGAGGTTTCTCTGGTCACAAAGAGCATAAAAAACCCTCTCACATAATTTATACTCCTTGTCTAAGTCTTTTTATGTCACATGTAGAAAACTTTCCCAAACCAAACATCAGATCCACCAGTGATATTTTAAACGTTGTAGACTTTGCATCTTAAAATGCCACTGTCACTGAAATGAAGAAAGGTTCCTCTTTATTGCAGAACTGAATGCAGTAAGTTCTATTAAAGCATATAAATCTTTAATTAGTAGGGGGGAAAAGGAGACGTTTCACTAACTTTTAGACATTTGTATTTCTTTGTGAGAACTTTCCAAGTCATCACTACAACAAATGGTAACACTTCTAAACTTGTGTCTGGACCAGTTAGTCAGCAATCACTGGCTGTGCCCCCAGCAGCTGCACAACACACTGAGCCCACTGTTCTTTTTGGTCCTTTCCCTTCGAGGAAATCTGAAATATCCGAGGCTATCTTGATGAAGTGAACGTGCTTCCAAAGCTGTACTTACCTCTCAGCTCCATCCAGGCCTCACCCATGTCCATCCCTGTAGTGCCCTGCAGAGGAACTAAGAGCAGCAGGTCTAAAAAGCCCAGGGAATTAAAATGGTCTCAGTTTCCAGGTGGCAGGTTTGGCACCTCACAAAGGCTCAGCACACCTGGCAGCAGGTGCTGAGTTCACGACTGCACCACCCAAACCTGTCTAAGGATCAGGCCACAGGCACCACCGCACCAGAGCACAGGTCAGGCTGAGTTCACCCTCTCAGCATCTCCCCAGTGAGCCCACAGGACGACACCATCAGATGAGTGCAGTGCAGAATCACCACCAGTTCTGGACTGGTGTGGTTTCCCAAAGGGACATATTATCATTTGCTATTTTGCTTTGCTTAAAAAAGCCTCCACCACAGACCAGGGTGTGCATGAGAGGCGAAGGAACAGATACCTCCACATTAATGACCAAACTTCTTCTGTTCTGTGTTCTCCTTGATGGTATAAAATATTCAGTGATGACCTCATACAGTTTGAGACAGTGAATGGCAGCACATCCACGTGTGTGTACTCACAGACACCTTCCAAGATCTGCAGTAGTCACTCTGCCCTCCTGTTCTCCCCATTCCCTGACTACTGAGCAGGCATCTCTTGCACTGATGGCAGTCTGATCCACAGCAACTGCTTGGGAGAAGGCTACACTGGTGCTGAGAGGCAGGCATTTAGCTGAACAGATCAGACACAAAACTGAAATGAGACACTAAAATGTCATACATACCTGCAGTCAGGCAAAGAACAAAAGATGACTAGCCAAATTATAAGAGGCTTTTGGAAATAGCACATTAATGCTATTTTTTCATGTTAGAAGATAATTTTTATTGCAATTCAGCAAATCAGCTACACCTGTAAAACTGCTTTGTATATCCAATTCACATTTAATGTCCAATGGATTGAAATGGCACAGGAAAAATAAAAAAGGAAAACAGTACCTGGTTTTGTCATTATAATGTAAACTTCAACGCGGCCCTTAAAAAAACCAAGCCAGTGATTTCCCCATGTACTAAAATATATAGTT